CACTCAATATTCCTGGAAGCGGATCTAGTCATTGGTCGTGAAGCTCTGCTTGCCCTACCTTCGGATCAGGCGATCTGCTGCCACCCACAATGCCTCATCCGGACGTGGACACCTCTCCTTGTCAAGACTACATAGACCGGGTCGTAGCACCTAAATTCGATCCATTTGCGACCACCGCTAGTGGTGCTGATGATCAGGAGTTCGATCATAACGGCATAACCAATATTGACCACAGTAGTGCCCACACTATCACTTCTTGGTCCCCCCCTGGGATTAGCCCGGACAGGACCTTCAGCGGTCCCGAAACTTCGAATCCCCTTGTGCTACCCTTTGGCACTATTCACGATTATGACGAGTGTACCAGTACCATCTCATCTACGTCGGACTGCCCCATGAGCGCCTGCATTGATCCGAGTGCCTATGCTGAAACAAAGGACGATTATCCTATGGACGAGGTCGCCCATGAAGATTCCACCCCGGTCTTCCACTCTGTATCTCTCTCGCCGGGGAATATCGACGATCATGAGGAGGGCGCCGTCTTTTGTATCCCTGATTCGGCCGCGAGTGCCTGCATTGGTCAGAGTGCCGTTGCTGAAACAATCGACAACCATCCTATGGACGAGGTCGCCCATGAGAATCCCACCAATGGCTTGCAATCCGTGTCTCCCTCGCAGGGGGGGCACCATGAAACAAGCCGTAAACCAGCGTATGAACCACGTCTTCATGTCCGAAGTAAATACTGACTTCCCCCAGAAGGGTGAAGTGCCCGGAGGCAGGTTGTCGGACATCGTTCGGTCGACCATCTGACCTCAACCGACACATGTCTACCGTCCATAACAAGACACCCGTCCCGTGCACAGAGTGCCAAAAAACGTACACTCGCAAGGATAACATGATGAAGCATTACAGAGAGGCACACGGGGATCCGAATGGTGCGAATGCGTCAGAATAGGGGTCTTGACTGCTTTCAGGTTCCTCTATTAGTGGTTGTTGATCAATGAGGTGAGAAAGGCCACACGACATGTTCGTTTCACACTGACAAAGGGTTCTATAGTCCATTGCTATTGTGGCTTGAGTACCACTCCGTTCTAACGCTCCTTCGCCGCTAAACCTCGCTTGTCAATGTGTCCTTTCACTTTCCCCGAATGCGGAACCACCCATTGTGGTGAAGTATTGAGGGTATCACTGGCAATAAGAAGGGAAATGAGCATGAAGGACGGCCATAAGGATACTTGGTGTCACGATCTAGCGGGGTAGGATAAGAGAGAGAAACCGGCATGGTTACACATGGACACATGATCATCCCCAAACCTCTGATGGCGCTTCAGATATTCCTCCTTTTTTATAAAGACAGACCCGATTGATTGCATGGGAGATCTTTGGAGTCGACTGCGTGAAGACTGTGGGTTTATGTCATGTGGGGACTTATTTCTCTCTGTGACCTCGCTAGCTATGCCACTTGAACTAAGCTACAGTGAACGCCTGCCGGGGGCGTATCCTTCCACCAACAGCCAAAACCTTGCTGAGGGGCCAGGTTCTTCTTGTGACAAATATAATGGCAAATCCATAAGCAAATCGGACGACCGATTACAACCAAGCTCGATATCTCCTAGTCTTCTAGCCAGCAGGGCATCCATAACAGTGAATTCCTACGCTACGATGCGGTATCCGGCTACGGCGTTCCCGGTGGGTTTTGAAGCCCAAATCGATGAGATCCACTTAATATTTGATTTGCTACACGGCTAAAATGGCACAGATAGTCGGTGTTTTGGGGTGTAAGGCGGCGCTATCTGGGGTCAAGCCGACTATTACAATATACAAGACAGTTTGATTTGCCTCGTACGTGAACTGGCTAGGAGATCTTGCTACAAATCTATATGAATTCTTATGACCCTTTGGCAACATGTTTAGTCACATTTAGATGGCACTTTTATGGCTAGCAGAAATTCCACTACAATCAATAGCTAATATTTGTGCAAATTATCCGGTTAACTGGGGGTAGGAAAGCATTGTAGAAAGAGCGTACGCCTGAGCAACGTTACTCTAGGCAGCCACTAGTGTCCAATGATACGCGATCAGGAAAACTATCATATACACACAGATGGTCACATACAGTGAAGCCTTCCGAACTGCGGCTCTGTGTGTCTGACAGAGTTGTTCATAATGTTGGAGACGCTCGACATGATCCATCAGATCACGAGGGTGGCAGAACATCCCGTCCTCGTCCTCGTTCACGGACCAGTCATCGGACTCGTCTCTAGTATCGAGTCAATCGCTCCTGCCCTGGAGGGTCTCGGATATGACACTAGGAGAATCTTCTTCCACGTACACTTGGTTTGTGAGGGTTATCTCGTCGCGGGGACACTCAATGGGATTGCTCTCGTCAATATTCAGCTCGTCGTCGTTCCGAGTAGGTGCCGAGCTCTTTCCTCTGTCCAGCTCGCTGGACTGATTTTCAGAGGCACCTTTGGCCGTCTCCTGATTGTCGGCGCTCTCTTTGCTTGAAGGGCTTGTCTGACCAAGGGCTGCAGTAGCCAGCAGAGGTGCATACGGTTCGGGCTCGCTTTGTGGCAAGGATCGAGAAAGGGTACTGTGAGCATCGTAATACTGACTTCTGGCCTCAAACTCGGATTCTGGAGCGTACCATGTTACTGTGAAGCTATATGGATTAGGGCCATCTTCAGTCGTGCTATACCAGGCATTCGGAGAAGGTTCCAAAGGTTTGCTGGTATCCTGGATATGAGAAGGTGTCGACGAAGAGGCATTCATATTCTCTTGTTTAGCTGCGCTTTCCGGGGCGTTGGTGGCAGGCTCTTTCCCAGTAGAACCAAGCTCCTCATCAGAATTTGGGCTATCAGTGGAAGGATACGCCCCGGGCAAGCGTTCACTGTGGCTTAGTTCAAACGACATGGAAGGACAGCTCAAGTCATTAGAATAAGCCGGAGTTGATTCAAATGCTGGCCAGGTAGATTTGGCTTTGAACACAGGCTGAAGCAATGATGATCCGTCATGAGCACTCGATGCACCAGTAGTCTGGGACTCAGGTGAGTCCAGCTGTTCCACCTGAGGGGCGGCTGTATTACCAGCTGCATTTTCACAGACATGGGTATCACCGAGCTGTAGCAGTGGTGTTGCAGAGTACACACTCGAAGCACCCGAATTCAGGGCCTCAGTTGACTCGTCTTGCGGCCCTTGAAGGCTGGATACAACTCCACCCTCTGTATTACGGGCTTGAGTTGTTGGATCGTGCTCGCTTGGAGATTCGGAGGCGGTAGATGACTCGGAAGTGAGAAGGGCGCTGGAATCAGCCCGCTCCACCTGATGGCGTGGCATCCCAAATAAATTTCCAGCATCGACGTTGTGAACCGCTACACCGCGGCGACGCCGGATTTGGGGGTGTTGCACTGCCTGTACCTGGTTGGTCAGAAACGGTTGAAAATGGTCACTTTCTTCTCTTGTTGAGGATCTGAAGAGGCCAGGGCCCTCGGGCCGACCTGGTCCCGCATATGGTATGTGTGGAGGAGCAGCCTGGGTCAGCGAGGGGCGTGAGGGTTTAGAACTAACCGATAGAACAGATGTAGGTACTTGGCTCCTTGTTCCTCCCATATCAGAAATTTGCTCTTTTGCAGGAGAATTGGTCTCGATTTTCGGAAGTGCATCAATCAGTGATGCCGTCCTAGGCCATCCTCCCGCATCACCGTGCTGAGTTTCAGCAAGGTCAGCAGTGGTGGTGGGCGGTGGTGCTGAAGCATTGTCGGTAGCAGTGGCACCAGGGGGGGCTTCTCCTTCGATTTGGATCAAAGGTTGGGACCCGTCACTTCCGAAATCATAACCAGGAGTTGGTTGGTTCGCGGGACTTTCGTTCTCATCGGTAGCGCATTGGCCTTCGGTTGGACAATTGGTAGGAAGTGTGTTGGTCCCAGGGTTGTAAGGCGAGCCTTCAGACGTTCTATCCCACAGTGGTAGAAACGAAGGCATTTTCGCTTGAATATACAACTGGACAGGTGAGGATATTCGTCAGTGGGGTAGGTTTCTGCTTGCAGAGACTCGTAACTAGAAAGCGTATCGCCGGTTGTAGCACTAGAAGAGTTTATCTTGCTAGTTCGAGCAGACATGTAGGGTCTTATATAATTGGTGGCCTATGTAGAATAAAAGGGTCATGGTGGGGCTTTTAGGAATTTCCCTTGAACAAATACCAGGTTGGGGATATTCCCGATGCCGGGTATACGTGAGGTAGGTATGTTCCTAGGGTAACGAGCAAACTGAGTTTCGGTGATTCTTACGTCTATTGAAGCTAGAATTACATTGGAAGGATATATAGTACAAATCTGCCATTTCACGAAATATCCTCCCCGTTGTTAATCACAATTCCCGAAGATACTGAAACTTAACATAGGTATTTACCAGCATAAACACATGTGTACGAAGTAAGGTTACACCTCGAGTAGTCAGAATCCGAATGATATATCTCGAAGATATGTTGCAGACGAGCTTTTTCTCTGATTGGGTGAAATAATCTACACTGAATATTTATGGGGCGGGAAGTACCTACTATCTGGGCTACCTGCTTAGATTTCATCTGATGGATATGCCAGACAAGTGAAGATAACAATTCGTATCCAGACAAGTAGCCAGTGGTCAATAAACGGTGTTCCTTACACTCAAAGTCCAAATTTGACACTACGAACAATGCAGATCTGAGCGCGCGCTACACGAAATTATAGGCTTGATGCCATACACAACATACATTGCGTGAGAACTATCATTCAATGGGTAGTCGTTGCATTTGTGACTATTTATCTAATTCTTTCCCATCAAATCCTCCGTCCTTCCGTTTACCGAGTGGATCTAGGTCCACTCCACTAACAAGCAATTCAGAAGCCAGGAGAAGGGATTGTTGGAAACCCGGAACAACCAACCAACAACCCAAGACTTATGACATCTCCACAACCCGAGAGGATAAAATGCCAAAAAATTAAGCTTCAAATCTCTAGAGCCTTTCAAGGACTAAACATGCAAACATCCCCCTTGTGATGATGGTAATCATGCACACATTTTTCGAAACTGCTGCTAAAAGCATGGCGACAGATCCGACAAACACAATTGTCGGGATAGTTGTGATCGAGTTGAAAATGATCGTCCGCTTCATCTCCATCGTCAAACACCCTGTCACAACCCATAAGTATGCATCTATATTCTCTAGGCGGGGGGGATGTCAACAGAAGATCATCAGGTCTTATGCCGCCGTGTCTCGCTTCTATCTCCTCTCGAAAGCAATGACGTTCGTAAGCAGGTTCTGGGTCTCGCAGCATCTTAAGAAGTTTCGACTCTTTGCACTGACAAGCACCACCATTCGGCAATCTTGCTTCTGAAAAAGCTTGCCTGTATTGGGACGCAGGGTGAAATGAGTGTTGAGCAAGATGGTGAGCATGGAGCTGTGGTGTCACTCCAAAGTTTGTGTGACCCTGTTCAGCTGCCGGGACACCGGTATTCAGCTGTGCGGCAGGGATAGGAGAACCATAGACATCTGAGAGCACAATGGTATCCATCAGCTGTGGTTCATTGGGGCTTTGCTCAACAATATTCAAGCCAATCATAACGTCGGTCGAAGTAGGTACTCCTCCCGCTAGTGCCGCGGTGCATGTTCTGGTGCTGTCAGGAGACGCCATGGAGGAGCGACGCTCGACAGACTCGCCATGGTTGACACCAACGGTATGAGAAACTTCTTTTCCATCCATTTCATTCGTAAAAACTAGCAATGGCTCAGTTGGGGATGCTGGTAGACGAGCAGGTATAGAGTAGACCAAGGCCAAGAGTCTGTACCCAGGTACCATGCTTGCTTTTATATGTCTCACAATCTTCCTACGAAACTACAGTGCTACCAAGGCTCATCCAGAAAGGCGCATTAGGACAGTTGGTTGTTATTACTCTATAGCTCATGTGAACAATGTTAGGTTTTACTCGGTTTCACCCGACTTGTAGTATTACCTTCGAAGACGCAGTCCAGCAGCATTGTTTCTGAGATCAGACATCGCGAGCAAGCCAGCCTTGGCTTCATCTTAGCGTTTCCCACCTATCTCCGTATTTGATCCCAGCATGATGGTGATATTTCCGGTGGCCGTATTCCCCAGTGCTAGGATGTGGGAAATTCCTTTGTCGTCTGCCACAACATTCCCGTCTGCGATCACCCAGAACGAGCCCAGTACTCATTATTGGTATGTTCCAAAGTTCGGACCAGTGGGTGAATATGATCACACTTTTCGATGTTATCCTTCGGGTTCCTTTTTGCCAAGCCGTCAGGCGTGTAGTCATGACGCCTGATGTTATGGCAGAACCCTTGTTATACTATACACCTTATCACATTGGCTGTTGTGCGTGGTTAATAATGCTTTCATTGCCTACAATTTGTGGTATACTGGATGTCCCAGCATCGCCACAGAAATTTACCGGAAGACACGACTACTTCTGGGGTCTTCTAAGAGCACCAGATTCGGGAGGATCCGGCTGCAAATTTGACTCTCAGTGCGGAGACGTAATAAAAGCGCAGTAGGTGCAAGGACACTCAGATGGATAGTGCCGGGGGCTAAAGCATCCAAAAAGCCTTTGCACCTATTCACGGGACACTCGATGAACACAAAGCCCTGGCTTCGTTTACCTAAAACTGTCCTGGACATCCAACCATCAACGGCGGGTGGTCCCGACTGCTCGTTGCCTGAATGGTCACGGAGGGAAGGATTTGGCGAGAGACAATTAACCCTCCAAATCCCCTGAGCGGTGACCTCAGACACCCCATGCCCAGACTTCCACTTCTCGTTTAATCTCTTGGCATTGTTATCTGATCTGCAGTGCGATTTCCCCATGAGTGTGATGTGTCCGTGTCCCGACTCTCGGCATCGGCGGTCGGAGATTAGATTGCGAATCAGCACCGAGTCCCTGAAACACGAATTTATGCAGCCTCGTACCCAAGCGAACGCGAAATATAGGGAATAGGCTATATGAAGTTGGATTGCCGTGTGTCTGGCTAATCGGACCCTGAAAAAGATTAGATGAAAGCACCACGTGCTGTAGCATAAGCAGACATCAGTCGCTTTGACCGACCGATGTGTGGCACCTGTTGACTGCCTGAGGCATACATTGAAATTCTCATGTTGCATGGCATCACACTTTAACCGATGAATAGATGCAGAATTGGACCAATACTGCGAAGTACTTACCCTTGCAAGCCCAAGCCTGCATCTGTTAATGAGTTAAAGTGAGCCCACTTAGAGACTGGCTATTCTTTCTCTCATATAACCGGAGGTACACAAGATCGGAAGCCGAGATACGCGAAAAGGTCGGGTTATATATCAACAAATCAGAAGATTGCTGTCAATAAAGAGTACTAACCAGCCAAATTTAGAGAAGTTCGCCGTGACAAAGTGCAGTCGCATGGCAGATTACTGCAGACTATTACCGCTTGCTAGGGAAATGTACCAGCAAAAAGAGTGAAACTTTGAATCGCAATGTAATCGTCCTTGATAATCTTCGAATATGCGTTTGATTATATATATCTACCAGGGTGTTAGAAGAGGTACTTCTGAGCCAATCAGCGGTTATTGCTTACTCTAAGATCGCTTACTGGTGTATCTACGATAAAGAGACACGCCTCCCTGATAGTTAAATGTGCATTTTAATTTTCCCCCCACTGGTCGCAAAGCCATGGTTATGGTGGTCTTGTTGCGACCGACTATCCGTGAATTCATTTGATAACCTTTTAACTATCCCTGCGAGGATGAGTCACAGACGACGCGTCAGTTTTGGTCCACAAAACAACCCGTCTTACTAGTCCGGTGTTCGGTGTTGTGATAACAAACTGTTCTGAGGACGAAGAATTCTTAGCATATAAAGAGAGCTTCTTGGCCTGCTCGGTATTAAGTAATAGCGCAGGCTTTCGAGCTATTGTGTTGCATGTTATCTTACATGATCTGGACTTGGTTGGCGCGCAAAACAGTTGGACTTAGCCTTTCCGCCCGTAGATAAGAAATCATATGAATTAGCGTTTATAGATCAGGCTGCAGCGAAACCATCACTGACTCGAAACCATCACTGACTCACCAGTGTGTTGATATATTGATACATATCACAAATCAACTTCATTTGGTTCCCTCTGTCTCTCGCATTTTCTAAAATCGCAAATTCGTCACAGGATGGCTTCAGATGCACAATCAATTAGCTCTCTAGAGCAGGGAGACGACGTCATCTCCTGCGAAGAGAATGAGTACGAAATGAACCAGCACAAAGCACAAATTTCTCTGACATTGGACATATTACATCCGCTCGGATTTCGCTTCCATGTCTGGTGTACAGGCGACTTGGGAGGACGGCCATCCAAAACACTAAAGACAAGAGAAAATAAAAATCTTCCTGGATAAGGAGGTAATCATCCCTGCTACAAGTCCAGATAATCAGCTTGTCATTATAAGAATCAGGAATGATATTCATATATTCTATATAGAAACCAAGAAATAAATTAATATATTACACAGGTATTTTAGAGAGGTAGTTACTCTCATCTTTACATCTTTCCTAGATGGAGATTTTATTTATTAGTTAAATATACCGCGGTATCTATGATCCTCATAAAGCAAAGATAAAAGTAGATATGGTTATATAATAATATAGAAGCTTACTCAGAACAGCAAGAAGATACCTTCCTTGAAAAAGGAACAGAAATAATTAAACTTTACTATATATCTTGATAAAGCCGGCTCCATGTATTGTTTTCCAGATAATCTGGGTTTAATTAGAAGCCAAGCTTTCAGTCCAGACAGTAAATACATGGTTTATATTATAAAAAATATAATAAGTAAATATTATACTGGTTAATACTACTATTCGCCCTGTGTCACTCTCTGGGATATAAATACCAGGTCAATTCAACATCAGCTACATGGTTACACTAACTATATCATGTAATTCAGTATCAGCCCGGATAGCTCCCTTGCTGCTTCTATATCATAGAATAATACAGCATGGATTTAAAATATTCTATCCAGCAGATTAAATCATACTATTAAATTTTTAAACAGCTAGCTTTGGTGTAGTATCTTCTTACCAAACTTTAGATTTTTAGCTGTCAGCCAGGGCGGCGAAAATCTCATCTATATTTATAATATTACAACAGCGCAGCAGATCTCATGTATTAAGATACTTATATAGTATTATTCCATATTCTGGAGTCCAGATAGCAGTTTTTTGGCTGGTAAGCTTGAGATCAGTACACTTTACCTATAAAACCTGCACACGGGGATGGAAAAACAGCAGTAGTCTCTAAAATTTAATTTAAACTATGATACAAGAATTTATAACCATTAGGAGGCGTACAATTTGTGGATAATAAATTAATAATTCAGATACTTAAGAGGACAGTTGAGGTATATGACTTAGATATAACCCTCAAAAAGTAATTTATTCAAGGACCAGATAATAAGATTAGCAGATATTCTCACGGAGAAATGGCTTGCTCGAGCGATTTCAAGATTCTCATTATTCCCGATGTTGACCGAACCTTACGTTTTTGGAGGCTGTAGGCGGTATCGAAGTATACAAGTCAGATGTTGTTACATTCTTGCTGTTTTGAAGGCGGACACCGTCCTCCCGATAGATATATCTCCGCAGCAGCGTAATAGGTCATCTTGTATATCAGAAATATGAATGCGAAATATGGAAGTACTATGCTGATAGAAATGCACGAGCACATGTATTTTTTGAGGTGGATTTCTCATCCGGCTGGTTGTTGTCTAAACAATAGAAGTCATTCGCATCATATCCCTGAATAAGCTAACCGAAATTAATCGTGTCTCAAGTACTATTTTGCACAGGGACGTACTAATTGAGGGTTACCAGTGTGGCAGAAAGTTTTGTCGCACAATTTCCTTCGTGTTGATTTGCAATTACGGCTTGTCGGGCATCATCACGCTTAATCGCCATAGAAAAATATGAAAGGTATGATGCAACTGTAGGAAAAGCTCACCTGCACATTTAGCACAGCCCTGTGAGCAGACAGATATGGTTACTTTTGAACACAAGTAAGTGCATGTTTTTCTGTTCTGACTGACATCAGTATGATCCTGGGTCAATATGACAGTTATTTATAGTAACCAGAAATATCATGAGACCTTTTTAAAGTGCATTGAAGGCTCTCCAGTGACGTTCGGTGCCAGAAAATTGAATGAGGGATGAGGCGAAACAGTCGCGGGTGGCTGCAAATGCATGTTGGTTGTTGCCTGTGGGGAAGACGCGGGTGGAAGAAGGTTATTCACCCGCACCCGCACTAATCCCTCGGCGAAGCAGCTGGAAACCTAGTCCCCCCGCAGCATGCACGCAACTGTTGCCTGACTCCGACGATCGATTGCCAGAAGCCATCCACAACCAGAGCAGTCTGTTGGCATAGAACGCGTCAGAAACATCAGTTGTAAGAAGTTTCGAGGGCAAAGTCTGTTGAAACAAAGCATCGAGTGGATCCACGAGAGCGCAGATCATTGCGTCATCAGCGCACACTTGAATTTGAGCCGTCCTTTCAAGGGCCGAGGAATTCAAAGCAGGACCACATTTATCCCCGAAGTGTGAGGACCGAAAAGGTCTGATTACACTCGTAGTTTCATGAGTTGCTAGGTGATAGTAGCCTTTTTCAGCAGGTATCGTCAACTCAAACCCGGGTGCCTGACTATCATCGTTTCCGCTGTTTCGCGTTTCTTGACTCCCGTTTTGCTGTTCATGACTGAGCCAGACACAATACTCTAGAACGGTTCGGTGAAAGTTGATCACGAGAGATAGATGGCAGTAAAGTTTGGAAAAAGTAGCATGATGTTCGCTGTCAGAATGTGAAGTTTTGTAGCCCTTCTTCACTTGCAGGTAGCGATCACGCTGTGTACCGAAACTTGTCCAGTGACGGAGGTTAAACCTATTTTGTCTCACACCACGGCTGTCAAATAGTGACATTAGTCACAATTGACCCTGTGCTTATCGCAAGGACAATTTCGATCACTTCAATATGGCAAACGAGATGTCTGCTGCAATTCTAGGCAGCGCAATTAAACCTTGATAATGTCCCTGCAAGTGGCCCTGGATCCTCCACTGCGCCACGGAAGCCGCCTGTTTTCTAAATTTGTCCGCCACTAAGAGCTTTTCTAATCTCAATGTCGACTGCTATTATTCCCAGCATTACATCATTGAGATAACCGTGTCGACAGCGAATTGGATAAACATCACTATGTGTCGTGGCCACGTTCTTTGAGCTTCCAACCTTCTGCTTTGGTTAGTTCCGACCGAGGGCCGTATACCTTGTGGATATCGTATCCGGCTTATAACTATGAATTCGGAATAACGCGACTGCGTGGCGCAGGTAATTTGATCCTTTGACCTGATCAACACGGGGATTGGATCTAGGGTCCGGATGGTATCTTCGCTAGAGCAACAACCCGTCTTATTCCGGTCCTCTGCAGCTTTTTGTTGAAGGGCCTAATTCCCGACATCTGCATCCTCCTCTAAGATGCTGGTGTGTCAGCACGATTTTCCATCATGCAAGACGGAGATTTGGCGAGTTGGATGAGTCATCTCCCGCTACCATGAAGCGATGAAGAAGTCTGGACAATCCCATGGTGCACAGATTGAGGGTCTTGATTTGTGCACACAGAAAAAGATACCCCATACCCCGCCTGTGACTGGCGGGAAGACAATGGGAGAGAGGGTCACAGCACGTAATCCGACGGGGGTCGGTGGTCGGAACGTTCGTGCGGACACGCTCCGGCATCCCTTTGGAACGCAGCGGAAGGGGCTGTGGGGCTGATTGTGAGGGCCCCGGTCCATTTGGCGGTCAGACATTTACGAAGCTGTTGTCCGATTGGAGTTTCTATAGATAACACTGCCCTATGCTGGCACAAAGGATGATGCTAGACATCCTGCAGCCTGCGAGGGACGAGACGGGATGAGGCAGCAGTTGTGTTAGATCCGAGAGACGAATTCGGCGATACTGGCTTCCAATGGTCGCGGTCGGCATTAATTACTTTCTGGGTCGCTAGAGGACGGGCCAAGCCAACGGCCAAGGCGCCGACGTCCTACAGACGCGCCTGGCGTGCCGTGCCAAGCCGGAGATAATTGATCGTCATCTACAATGGCAAAAACAGGGAAGGAGGGTCCGACAACCGTACCACGGTGCTGATGAAAGTTTTGCTGATCGTTACCTGCTCATCTCGCGTGGGAGAGGGGTTCTGGTGACCCGTGGGAGTCTCTAAGTACTGTCTGTCACTGCCCTTGGGTCATGTCATGCGGTATAGCGAGTGATGTGTCTCATAGATAGTGCATACGACTCCTATAGATCAAGGCTAATTGGGCCTCGATATGATCATAGCTATACCACGATCCCAACTACCAAGAAGTGCCTACCTAATTCTGCAAGATTTGCAGGACTGGAATAGATTTCTTCCGCGTGCTCTCCAACGGATCCCATTATTGATTGATAAGTTGATCCGATCCACTTGGATAGATTAGAATTCGAATTACGCCTGTCTGATGGGTCCAGCCAATCCACACCCTGGAGGAGGGTGAGGCTTGGCGAGCTTTGCTTGTTATTCTGCCTACCCCCGAGTTTGTCACGGTCCAAGTAGCCGAGATGAAGGATGGTTCCCCCGTCGTTCTAGCAATACTTAAAGGTGCAGATCCCTCCCTCTCAGGTCCTACAAGAACATCGTCTCTCACGACAATCTCTCGCCAAGTCGCATCAACTATCCTCTTCTTCCGTTCTTGACTGGGTAGGCGACATGCGTATTTCTGCTGCTTTTGCTTTGGCTGGCCTGGTGGCCGGCTCGGCCGCTGCTGGCTGCCCGTACGCGGAGCGCGCCAACAACGCTGCTGCTGCTGCAGCTCCTGCGGGCTGTCCCTATGCTAAGCGCGCCGCTGCTGCTTCTACGAAAGAAACCCCCGGGCTGGCCCGTCGGGGCCCGATTGAGGGCAAGAAGGGTATCTTTTACAGTGAGTGGTTGCCTGATTGACCCTAGTGATTCACGTACTTACGGACTCAAGTGAACCGCATTGGACCTTCCGGAGGACAGTTATGGATCTCAAATGCCGACGGCACCAACGCGACTCAGCTCATGGGCAACCAGACCAATGCTTTTGACTACCACCCTACATGGTCTCCCGATGGAGAGTGGATTGTCTTCACCAGCGAGCGCCGCGGTCCGGGTCAGTCGGACCTGTACCGTGTTCGCGTGGATGGTTCGGGACTGGAGACACTTGCGGCCACGGACTCTGTTGAAGACATCGGTGTTCTGTCTCCCGATGGAAACAAGCTTGCCTACGTTTCTACTCAGGGCAACTACACCACCAACATCTGGGTCAAGGACCTCACATCTGGACAGGCCCAGAACTTGACCGATACCGAGGCTAACAGAGCCGACAACACCTGGCCCACTGGTCACTTCCGCCCCTCCTGGTCTCCCGACGGAGAGTGGATTGTCTTCAGTTCCGACCGCAACACCGACTGGACCGGCCACAGCGATGGTACTGGCTGGGAGCACACCCAGACTCTGGGTGTGTACGCCGTCCGCCCTAATGGCAGTGACTTCCGCACCGTTATCCGCCAAGATGGTTACTCGTTGGGTACCCCGCAGTTCTCGCCCGATGGCAAGCGCATCATCTACAACAACATGACTACTGAGAACACCTACGGCTGCCATGGTGTTTCTGCTCAACAGGAGGCTGTCACTGCACAGATTTACAGCGTAGACTTTGCGACTGGCTCCAACGTCATAGCTCACACCTCCGGTAGCTACCCTAAGGTCGGCCAGCACTACATTGGCAACTCGACCAACATTGGCTACTTGGTCAAGGCCGGAGACGAGGGTATTCACTACACCAAACCTGACTTCAGCCACCAGAACTTCAACCTGACCAACCTCCGCGATCCCTGGTGGTCCCCTGACGGCTCCAAGCTGGTCTACTGGATCCCCAACTGGACTCAGCAGGCTGCCGACCTGGAGCTCTGGAGCTACGACAACGATTGGGAGTACCGCTACATGGATGTCTTCCCCATGCACAACACCGTCGTGAACCGTATTGCGTCCACCCAGAAGGTCCTCGGCAGCGCCAACGGCTCTCTGGTCCACTCTTCCCCTCTGTATACCGACGTTATTGATGCTCTCGACTCCTACGACATTTACAACATCAGCAACTCCACCGAGGTCGAATGGCTCCTGGAAGGTAACTCTGGTGCCTTCCAACCCTCCTGGAACCCTGACGGCACGGAGCTAGTGTCTGGCTTTGGTGCCTGGTTCGTCAGCCGCACCACAAACACCGCCAAGATCTACCGCACCTTCGCCAACGGTACCTGGCACGCCAACCTGACTGATGGATCCGACAACTCTGGTTTCCCCTCCTGGTCTCCCGATGGAACTGCCATCGTCTACCGCAAGTGGAGCCTTGCTACTGAGGCTCCCTTGGGTCTGTACATCCTGAACTTCACCACCGGCAAGACCCACCAGCTCACTGACGGCTGGGACAACACTCCCGGCTGGTCCCCCGACGGCGAGCGCATTGTCTTCACCCGCAACAACAACTGGACCGAGTCCTACGGCGCTCGCTGGTACGCCGATCGCTTCGATATCTACACCATCCGCCCTGACGGATCCGAGTTGACCCGCGTCACTGACAGTCTGTCTAACGATGCTCAGTATGTCTATCCCCTATCTCCTATCCCTCACTCAAAAGCTAATGAAATATACAGCGCTGTGTGGTCTCAGGACGGCCGCATCATGTGGAGCACCGGTATGTACGGCTTCAAGGATGAGAGTGCTCTCTTTGACGACACCTTCCAACCGTACGGCCAGATCATGGTCATGAACTACGATGGTACCAACAAGACCCTTGTGACGGATACTATTTGGGAGGATTCGATGCCTCTGTACATGCCCAACGAGTACCTTGAGTAGGGTATTCTCATGCTTTGAACCGTGTAAATATTTCACTACTTCGGTTGCTGTATGTCTTGCTAGGGACGCAACTGTATCTATAGCTGAAAATGTTTTTATGAATTTATTACCCTACTATCCTTTACACCACCATTATAAGACTCATTATTCGAATACCTTATAGTTTGTATCCATATGCCTTCTCCAGCCCGCTAATTAATATGCTACCTATGTAGATGCTTCACCGTTTGGAGCAAAGAGAATGGCACGGAACGCCCGCGATCCCTCTTTTCACCCAAACCTACCACATGACGCTTCCTCCGACACATGGTTGTCGTTTCGCCGTAGGCAAACACAACTGATAAATCAACGCGAAGCGTAGTCATACAAAAACATATAGAGATACAACCGAATGTAGCAGCTGACCAGCCATCCGCCTACGAATCCATCCTCATCTGTCCTCCGTCCATGCTCCTCCCTCGATTCTTCCCTAAAAGACAACAACGTACAGACATATGGACCTTACATAACCCCGCTAAGTGAAACATACCACAGACATCACTTCTAACAGAGATTTAGACCTTTCGGCTACAACCGTGACGAACCCTATCGACTCCCCCGATGCCCAATGCCAATCTCAATAGTAAGCTCCCTTAGACGAAAGCCAATATCCGCTCAGACCTCAAATTGCGGAAACTAAGCCCCATGTGGTCCCTCCGTGTTAATCAGGACAAGGGAAGCTTGCCGTGTACCCTAAGAGAGGCTTATCTGTCTTGTTGGTTCGGTTCGGGAGTTTGGCCCGGTCGAGACCGTGAAGGATTTTTAGCGCGGTCCACTTTTTGGCATGCTGATAGTCAGGCTTGGGGACGGGAAGGTGTCATCGTGCTTATCTTTTTGATCGAAGGGAGATATTATGTGTAATTAAATTTAGGGGTATTCCTATTGAGTGGCTACCCGGGGAAGGAGCCAGGTCAGATAGTGGCTTGGGAAGAGAAAGACACCGAAGGGACCTGTCATATTCCATGTTACTGGAATTCCCATGGCATGAGCAAGAAGCGTTTGAAGGTTTTGGTTGCAAATGCAGTCCTATCTTAGTGCCTCCAGCACGGCACTTGACGTGTTAGTCCTTCTACTCTCTTTATATCTGTATATTCCACGATGACTGAATCATCCAAGCAACCTGGTGTGTGAGGACCAACATCTCGCCCTATGCATATTCAATTGAACATTAACCCTACCGTACAGCTATCCTCGGCCCTACAACGTGACAGGACCGGTGTTGCGAAGATGACTTCCTAATTCAACAACATGGGCCCCCACGATCCCACGGTCCACTTTGTAGGGCTTCGTACTGTGCCAAAAATGGCTCGCTCGCGGATGGTCATGGGGGCTTCATAATCGTATCTTGCCTGATAAACAGTAAAATCAGCAGTGGCACAATCTGGTGGTACAGATCCTCTCACCTAAGGTTTTCTTGACAGGTTTGAACGTCTGTCGACCGAGAATTTTGACTATTCAAGAGCAGATATCCTCGAAGCGCCTCCCAGGAAAAATGACACTAATACACCGCCACAAGTTGCAAACAAGCGCCCATGTGACTCAAAGGAAGTATTTAGTATCAATCAAGATGAACGATCAATTTGATAATCAACTCCGTGTTCCAGTCAATGACAATCAAGAAGGCAAGGACAATCTAATTAAGCAACTTGCTGTCGGGGAACAGTAAAAGAGGAAAAGGAAACCCTGAGACATAAGAAAATCCTGTGGCTCATGTGTGCATGTGGCGTAGATCCTCCGATACTCGCAACGGAAAATATTTGGTATCTAACCCCGCTGGTATGTGCTACCTCATGTAACAAATCGGACGAGTTTCTGAGTTTTCGCTGCTCCGTGTAACCCATGTCATTCATGATATTAGGGCGCTATGCCCCTTTATTTTCTTTCGTTATCGTTACTCATTGCATTCGAGCAAGTTTATGAAGCATCGTTGAGTGGACTATTGCGAGAGCAAGTTAGCTTACTCATTTTTAACGTTCCATATAATGAACGACAGATGGGCATTTGATAGCGACAAAGTTCGATCACTGAGCCCGATCCGACAGAGATCGCTGACAACCCCGTGAGGCACCAACAAAAGCTGGGTCAAATTGGCAGTAGGTGGTAAAGGAGAGGTGGACAGCATTATGGGAGTGAGGAAGCATGACTGTCTTTGCCAAAGATGAATAACCACCGACACGATGACATTGACCCAAATCAAATTAGGGAACTGTACCTTTTCAATACATGACCTATTCCTTTACACTTCGAATCATGACGCGACAGATAGTCCGAACGGTCAAACCTCTCGAAGCACTTCGGACACTCATACTCTCCGGTTTGAAGGTGCTGTGTCCGCACATGCCTTCTTAATCCCGACACCCCGTAGAATGGTGCCTTATATTTGCAACCCTTCCAATGGCATCGGAGGTCAGGCTGCTGTCTGTTTTGTTGTCAGAATCAGTCCCGGAAGCACCACAAATTTCTCGATCTCGAGTGGCATACCTTGGTCTGGCTCTTCTCGCATTGCCATTGCCAGTCAAGGGCAAGCCGAAGTCAAAGCCTGCGTTCCCAACGGCTGGTGCAGACATACTGCTATTATGTTGAGTTTCCTGAGTGCGCAGGGCATTGAGGGGATGGTGAAATTGTCCCAAGTTCGCATAACGGCTTGTTGTGTGCTGGACGGAAGCCGGGTTTGCTACTTGCATTGCCGGCTGGTGAAAGCTAGGCCCTGTCAGAAAGTTTGTTGCTGGCTGGTACCATTGCTCCGGCTGGTAGGGGGGTGTTGGGTAGACGCGGGAAGCTGGGTGGATGCTAGGTGCTGGGTGCGAACAGGATGCTGGCTGGTAGCTAGGCCCTGACTGAAAGTCTGGGGCTGAATGGTACCAAGGCTCTGGCTGGTAGGTAGCTGGCGGGTAGACGCTGGGTTCTGGCTGCAAGCTGGGCGCTGAGGGGAAGGAAGACACACTAGCAACATTCTGGTACATCGGTATGTCACCATACCACCAACTCGATGAAGGAGCGACGAGGGGCGCGGTGGTACTTTCAGCGCTGAGGGCCTCATCAAAATAGTTGCCATCGGCAGAAGTGCTGAGCATAGTGTTTTCGTTGGGGGTACGAGCCCAAGGAAAGGGAAATTGGTCCATGACACGCGGGGCACGGCTTCGGGATCTTCTCGGGTTTTTGCGATCAGTGTACTAGAGACCTCAAAGAGAGAGCTTGGGATCGGAAAGAGTGGAAGTTAGTAACTTTCATGAAGTTGGAAGCAACAGAGGGCAGTTATCAGCTTCTTACATTCTTGCTCTGACCGAAGCTGAGGTTTCCTCGCCCAGGGTGGGTGGAAAGGTACCCCCTCCCACTCCAGGCCTCTCTTCCACTTCCGCAGTAGCCAATCATCGCTCGGGGCTCAGTAGTGTGAGTTGTGACGGTACATTGATGCGGGCTGTCTCAAGTCGAAGGAAAGGTGGGTGGTGTAACCTGAACAGCCTATGAAATAGCACCCTGGCCCTCTCAGTAGCCAGGGCACCGAAAGAAGCTGCATCTGAGGCTCACGGGTCCACGCAACTTTCATGGCCGAAGAAGCACCGCCACGGTTTAGAAATGATACCCAACTACTAGTGGCTTCAGTGATAGATGGGAAAAATGTTTTCAAGGTTTGACACCCTGGCCGACTTCGGCGTATCTTTGTGTACCGAGATATCAGAAAGAAAGTTAATCTACAACCCATTTCTTCGGACCTTTCGGACCATCTGATTTGCTCAGATTGGCACTTGGCCAATTTAGCTGCGATCAAATGGTGGCTCTCACCAAGAAAATGTTATAGTATCTAGTTCCCCTTATAGCAGTGATCAGCTAAATCGAGTGTGTCCACAAGGCACCCACCCCATCTTCTGGGGATACGAAGGCTAAATACAAATTCGGTCTAGTCCAGGGTCCTGGGCACTTTTGACGGTGAGCGGCGGCTCCCCCCAAGGCCCGATATGTCGCAGGCATCGGCTCCGACGTGGCGTAGCTCATCCCGTCTTATGTAGCCATGGCCATGACGCAACGGACATAGCGGGCTAGACCATGCAACGGTTCCAACAGCTGCTGGTTGGGAAATTGCATTTCTGGAGTCTTCTCATCGTTCAAGATCCATGCTAGAGGCTTACCTATTCCTTCGAAGCCTTGGCTGCACGTTAGTCCGTTGATCAACCCTGAACTCCAGCCCCAATTAGTTGCTCAATGACCCCGCATCGATGGGGCCCGCCGTGCGGAGCTAAGACGTCCCTCCATTTGCCCTTCGTCGGGACTTTTCAAGCCACCCAGCAACATGGGGGCAGACCAATGAGTTTTCTATCCGATATGCTGTGCCGTGCCAATGACCAGTTCCACAGGCGGAAGAGTAAATGAAGTTTATTTCGAGATATTTGATTGAGCCGGTTGGATGCCCTTGCAGTAGTTTGTCTGGGTATAAGATCTGCACCTATACATCCGTAGTTTGCGATGATACAATGTCATTGTTTACTCTCGTTGGCCTATCTCTGACATCAGCGCAAGGCACCGATAGTACCTGTCAATCTGCGATAACCACTCTTCATGAGTAGCTAACTGGTACTAACCGCTTTTTTGCATTGATCTGAGGAGAAATAACTCTTAAAACACATAATCCCCATTAAGAAAAAAAGATGAAATAAAGGGCAAGGAGAACAGAAAATCACAAAAAAACTGTAAACTCTTTGTCATCCTACACGTGACATGTGTCCCAGCTAATGGAATTGTCCACGAGACCGCTCTATTGTATGATTGGGTGATTAGCATCCCGCAGTTCCTGTATTGTTAGACGAAGTATCATTCTATCTAAAGATTGAATACACGGTAGACCAGGTCCAAGATATTAGAAACTACAAGTATTTAGGGTGAAGAATAGGTAGTAGCTATCTTGTCTGATCCAAAAAGATTACAATCATGAGGCTGTGGCTACAAGCCTATGCAGTAAACTGGTCATGTGCCCAAGAGTGTCCAAGTCACGGAAAAGGATTTCTCCCTATCAACCCCGCCGCTTTCTGATACATCGTGCAGCCACTCTCTTCCCCTCGACTATCAATGAGTTTCCTTCGCAGCCAGAGACCTTCAGCTACAGGTGTGATCCTGATTGATTCAGAAAATAATATTGCGAAATTACCCTGCTCGTTGACGCCGTCATCAGAATGAGTGAAACTAAATGATAAAGACAAAAAACAACTCCAGCAAATAATGAAAGACTTGCATCAGAACCGATAGACACAAAGAGGGTTCGAAATAAACACTGACAGATCGTCAATGCAATTTCACATGACATATCAAACAGACACGTGCGCAAAAGGCGTTCGGCGAAACATCCGGAAAGATAAGCAAATAAATGGATGCGAGTAGAAGGAAACGTCTGTGTTGGAAGCCCCCGAAATGGAGAGCTGCAATGCATCCTGTCATGCGGTAAACAACGCCACTACTGTTCTGTAGTTCCAGTAGCCCACGTATAGAAACCAGGGCATTCTGTGGAAAGGGTAAAGAAAAGAGAAGAAAAGACATCGCGAGAGATATACCCAGACATCCGAGCCCCAAGTGTCATGGAAAGCCAGCCACTGACAGCATTTATGATAAAGCATTTAGGAACGCCTCCTTGTCAAATTCTCCGGACGGTAATGAGCTCGCAGCCGATGATCGAACAAATTATCTCTGCGGTTGGACCGATGCCCACACTCTGGGCACTGGTAGGACAGCGGTCTTATATGTTTAGTTTGCACATGTCTGATCAGATCTGCTGGCCGTCCAAAAGGCTGGGTAGTTGTGCAACCCGTCCACCGACATTGTAGACCAATCAGCCTAGCGACTTATCAGCATCTGCCTTAAGGAAGTCTCATCCCTCTTTCACATACCTTGGTTCAGCAATACCCTCCTGCATCCATGCGATCGAGCCCGAGCCAGTGTCCAAGTTTAGTGACCCCACCCCCGCGAAAGCATCAGGCATGTTCCCTAAAGATCCAATGTATGATTGTGGTATGAAGTGGGCAGGAAAATGCTGAATATCGGTAATACCGTGGTTATCGGTGGTGGTCAGGAGGTTACCTGGGGTTGTCGCTGGCATTAGTGGCGCTAAGTACATTGATGATCCATCGCTCGGCCAGGCAACATGGTCGGTGCGAACACGGACATCGCCATAGCTGTTATATTGAGCCGGCGAATTATTGAAGACGGTAGAAGTCATCGGGTGTGTAGGAGAGTGGCCCTGGTGGCCTGCATCGAGGTTGTCGTAGTCGGTCGATGGCGGGGCTCTGACAGGGGGAGGAGTCGAAGCAGGGGATGCTGTGCTTTGACCTGCCGACGAGACAGGGTGGTAATTAGGAGCCTCAGGCATAGTAGAGACCTCGAGTATGGACCAGCCTCTACTCGGACCAGCCTCTACTCGGTTGAGAAGTATGATGCGATTCAGACTCGGGAGTCCTGGGTTTAAATACTACCGTGTCACGCCAGTCCCGTATGTCCATCTTCACCATCGATCTGGTGTTGCCTTTCGGCACATCACTGTCACTTGTGAGTGATATACCCTATTTCTTCTGGCGGCCGACCAATGATTGTAGGCCCTTGGTGACTGCTATCCCACCACATCATCGAGGTCGATGTGTTGGTCTCACACGCAGCTCCTCGAGGCCAGTCGAAATCCAGAAGTGACCATCTAAGCGCTCTGTAGCCAAGGCAAAGCCTGCCATTACGCCTGAGGCTCATTCTATCGTATCGTGGCGGTTAACAGGACGACATACAATGAGACTGCCGGACATCTTTGTTCTTCGTAGGTTTCATTCTGTCCACGCCTTGTTCGTTTTTATCTTCATCACATTGGGCAGCATGCAAGTATTATGGGGGGATTCTACCAATCACCGTGACGGACGGTTGAGGTCAGCGGCCCACTTGGTTGGGCAGCTTCTATTCTAGTGCTAAGTAACTCTGTACCCAACTTTATCCGGAAAAAGTACATCCAAGGAACAGAAGCCCCGGAAAAATTATTTGTCAAAAAATCCAAGATCCTCCCGCTTCTTCGCATTTGCATTCTTGCATGATTACCGTTCATCTCTAGATCCGCTTATTCGCATTACCCACAGTATAGCTCTAATCTTCAAAAGTCGATCCGATCACATTTGTCTCCATTTATAACACAAATCTCTACTACCTTGCCAAAATCCTAGCAGAAGTACTTTCTCCCATACAGGGATGGCCTAGATGACGCCCAGGCTACTTAACAACTCACCAGCACTCCGAAGATAGGCTCAGTTTATTTGAGATAGCGGATACACTCCACCATGTCCCCACTACCCCACCCCCCGTTCTTCCCCTCTTCCCTACGAGCCACTCTAACGCCTATTGCTCGCTTTCTGGGGCGCTTTCCACGACGTAGATAGCGGTCTAGGAGATAACTGTCGGCTAGTAGGTGAGCCAGCACCTGGACCAGGCTCGCCTTCCTTGCGCAAATGACAGACGCTATGCAAATCAACTGTTGAGAGAGATCTGTACTGGTAAAGCTTACTCCAGCTTTCCTTCCTGCCCGCGCGCGAACCCACGACATGGCGCCAGATCGGAGCTTCCATATCCGCAGTCTTACCTCATTAAGTTACTCTGCACCACTAGCGACGCACGGACCCATGGTCTCTTCAGCCTTGCGCGGCGGTAGCTGTCTAGGTGTCGACTATGTGTTTAGTAACCATGACTGGCTGTTGGGTGTTGAATTTGAGTGACTGTTCATTTCGAGAGTTCTCCACAGAGAGCGTTCTTGCTATTCATTGCGGAGGTGCTTATCTGTATTACATCTTGGGTCGATGCCCTGGTGCATCAAGGTAGAATGGAAATAGTACTGAAGCTGTCACATGATCGAACCTTCCTATTCTGTATGGTTAGATATATAGTGTAGCATAGCATTTAGCTGAGGGCCCTCATCTGTTTTCTCTACAGAAAATATACCTAAGTATGATCCATCACGTTCTAAGTAAGCTGCTACAGAGACCGGGTCTTTCTGTTTGTTCTTTCTATTTTTATGTTTTTACATCTTCCATGATGTCTTGCTGCATCAATGATTAACAACTATGCATTCTTCATACTAGGTATGCCCAGTATTATCGTCATATGGTATATACCCCCATGTTTTAGCGAACTCCTATGTAAGGTACTCATTGCTGTCGGTGGCTATAGTAGTGATCCTAGCGGATATGATGATCCACAACTCTATTCTTGGATTTCTGAATTGAAGAAAGAACGTAGACAAACTTAACCCGAAAAATATTAAGTGCAAATAGAAGATAAAGGGTAATAAATGCGAAGAAAAAAAGAAGGAGAAAAGGGAAGGGTACCTGCTACCAATACCTCTTATTCATTGCGAACAAAACCCTAATCCCCAAGACAAACAAAAGAGCAAACAAGCAAAGGGAGAACAGAAAGGGATTATGCATATGATGACAAAACCAAATAACGGTGATGTGTTTTTGGCCTCACCCACGTGATATCCCCCGCATCCGATGAACCCTCATATGGGCCGCTCTATTGTATGACTGGTTGAATCGCCGACCGCAAATCTCGCACGCGTAAGACTGGGGGGAAACATGGAGATTTTTGACATGTCGAATCAGATCTACCCCCCTGTTGAACGTCCCTGAATATGCACAACCTTCCCATTTGCAGCGGAGTGTGGCTGGGTTTTGCCTGTTACAGACTTAGCTTCTGGATAGAGAAACGAAATTCGTTCACAAACCTTTCCGGGCTGTCAACTCCATATGCGCCGTAAGTCAGTGCGGGGGGGCCCGCAGCCTCGAAGTCTAAGGGGGCCATTGGGGGCCGGTCCAGGAAGAACTGGCCTGGAATCTCCACTCGTGGCTGGTACGCATCCAATGGAAGAGCAAGCTGACTTGGGTGGAAGTTGTTGATGGCAGGGGGTGGGGCCATTGCGGTCGGATAGCCAGTGAGAGTTTGGTTGACTGGGTCAATGTTGAACTGGAATGCTACTGCTGGGTCTACTACCAATGAGCTGAAGTACGCATTGTCGCCAGGTTATTGACCAAGGCTTGTTGCAGGCGGGATTCGATGGCCCAGCCCAGTGTGGCTGACATAACCAACACACCCGCTGGAACTGGATTTGCCGACCGGGACGTTCTGCATTTAGGAGGATGTTGTACTAGTACTAGGTAGTAGAAGAGGAGATCCCAAAGAACAACGGTTTTAGAGCCAAGCTCGACAAGGATTTTATGGAAGCAACAGATTGAAGTAGGGATAGCTGGCCAACAGGTAGAACAAGTAGAGTCATGGGATGGAAATTTTGCTATGTATCTGAGAGCGCATGATGATAGCAGATATATACTGATTGATGTCCTAGCACCTCCTGCAGGTCGGCTTCCGCTTCCCCAGTCATGATAGTAGAAGCCAAAGAAACGATTAGTCTGCCGCAGGGGCTGTGGAGCTTCAGAGGAATGAAATCCCTGGTATTGATTTAAGCGGTTGCTGGCCTCTACCACTAGGATCACCATCATCGCCTCTCTAACTTCTCTAAACCTAACTTCTCTAAACCTAACTTCTCTAAACCCAACTTCTCTAAACCCAACTTCTCTAAACCCAACTTCTGTAAACCCAACTTCTCTAAACCCAACTTCTATAAACCCTATCTTCCTAGTGATGACCAACTTTCAATTACAGGTTCGTCTTAGGAACTGTAGAGATACTTTAATAGTCGTCTTATCTATTATAGACTGCCCTTACCGAAGTTCATCTCTTCTTTCGGAAACGTCCATCGACCATGCACTTGCTCGCAGAAGGCTTGCCCAGGCCAGTATTCTAGAAAAGAAAGCAAATTTTTGATTCGTGACTGTGCAAAAGCCTTCCAAAGTCTGTGATAAACAACAGATGGCTTGAGATCTCATACTAAATTGTCCTGCACTATCTTTCGAGGGTCCTGAAACTCCCCTGTACGGAGCCTCCTGTCATCTTACTGGGCAGAGTCTGTGGTTTGAGCAGGTGGCTCCGTAGCACTCTCCATCGGTGATGCATTACAAATATAATGCGAATATTCTGGGTTTTCTAATCTAGCTTCAGACATACAACAAACCGGGCGTGGCTCATGCCGATGGTCGCTTTCCGGCGGTAAGATCACCATAGCACGATATTTGAATGAGCGGCAAAGGTTGCGCGAGGCTGGGGTGGATTTGGCCTGCAGACTTAAGCCTGGGTGGGCGCTTGGTGCAGCGAATATGAGAGGACGGCTATGCAGGGAAGGCAATCCTTCAGCGGAGAAAAAGGAACCTACTGCTTCTCCAGTGAGACTTTTCTGATGGTTGTTACTAGTTGTGACCAGATCTCTTACTGGTTAGGGTTAAAAAGACGTAGGACCTGGCGGACCTAGGACAACATTCACCGTCTCAGGTATATCTGTCGGGTGTACCTGTCGGGTGTATCTGAGCGTATACTTGGGAACTATGAGTCCGCCGGTGGGCGGGCAATCAAGGTATTACTTGTCCTTGTTGAAAATCCGCTCTCCGGGATCGTTTCTTAAAGATTGTTCGGATGTTAATCCTGAACGCGGACTAAGTCTAGAACCAGCTCTGTAGCCAGTGGAAAACTGGTAATTACTGTAATCTTATGGTTTCACATACTGCCGATTGACAAAAATCAATAGAATCTACTCAGAGGTATTGCAGATACCCAAGAGAATCTTTTTGAACTGTCTTGTCTTGTTCTTAAATAAGACCATGCTTTCCTGTTCTATGATTGATACACAATTTAGTACTCTTCAAGCTGCTTGGGCTTTATTCACGCCGATAGTAGTGTGTATTTGATTATCTGAACTCTTACTGTGTGTGGGAGTTGCAGTTCTCTGGATATAAGATCTACACCTATACATCCGTAGTTTGTGATGATATAATGTCATTGTTTACACTAGTTGGTCTATCTGTGATATCAGTATAAGATACTGATAGTACCAGTCTAATTATAATAACCATATTTCTTGAGTAATTAATTAGAACTAAATACTTTTTAGTACTAATAAAAAAGAAATAACTTTTCAAAAAATATTTATATTCTATTAAGCAAAAAGACAATATAAAAAATAAAAAGAATAGAAAATCATAAAAAACTATAAATCTTTGTTATTATATATGTAACATGTAGTTCTAGTAAATAAATTATTCTTAAGACTACTATATTATTCTATTTAAAAAAAATTAATCTTTTATAATTCTTATATTAAAAGCTGAAGTATCAATCTACCCACAGAGTGAGAAAACAGTAGACTAGATTAGATTTATTGGAAAGTAAAAGTATATAAAATGTTGGAACATAATCCCAGTAAATTACTAAGTGAGCAAGGTCACGTGACCTGAAACACCGTAATCTCAACGCTCCTTCCGAGCGCGCCTAGATAGAAGAATCAAGCGTTTATTACGACTTCAATATTGACCTAAAACGTCGTTCCAACATAAAATAAAGACTAAATGGTAGCTCTCTTGTCTGAGCTACAGAGATCATCATTGTAAGATGTCGGAACAAATACCTGAGCAATACCAGCACCACTAGAGAGATTTCCCTTTTGGTCTACTTGGTAAATGTCTCAACATAAGACTGTGGCTACAAGCTTATATAGTGCTGGTCATGTGCTCAAGAGTGTCCCAGTCACGGAAAAAAGATTTCTCCTATCTTAACCCCGCCAGCCTCGCTCTTTCCCATTCCCATCTCTCAATGAGTTTGCCTTCGCAGCCAGAGACCTCTAGCAACAGATGCGATCATGTTTAACTCCAGAATATATGTCCTTATAATTCTTTTGAAGATACCCAACTAATCGTCGCCATCTCTAAGATGATTGAAATTATGTGATGAAGACAATCTTAAAACAACCCCAGCCGATGATGAAAGACGTGCACACATCGAAAGAACCAAATGCAAAGAAAACCCGAAACCAGTACTGAGATAGGTAATACAATCCCGCATGGCGTATTATACTATTATGGCCACAGATTGCGCTCAGTAAAACAACAGCCAAGAGGATAAATAAGAAATCAGATGCAAGTAGGAACGAAAAACGTGCGTTGGAGGCCCGCAAAACGGAAGAGCTGCAATGCACCCTGTCATGCAATGAACAACGCCGCGCGTGGTATGCAACACCAGGATTCCCGCGAACAATCTAAGGCAAAGTGCAGAAAAAGTAAGGAAAAGGATAAGAAGACAAATCACGAAAGACGATATACTAAAACGTCCTACCCCCAAAGGTCATGGAAGGCCAGCCTCTGGCAGCAAGGAAAATAGAGCCTTTAGTGATGCCTTGTTGGCGGATTCGGACAGTGATGAGCACTCCGCCAATGTTGAAGCATGTTATCGTTGCGGTTGAACCGCTGCCCACACTCTGGACACTGGTAGGCTTGAGGGTTTTCATGAATGGTTCGCACATGTCTCGCCAGGTCTCCTGACCGTCGGAAAGGCTGGGTATATGTGCAACCCGGCCATGTACATTTTCGACCAATTTGTCTAGCGGTTTGTCAGCTCTGTCCTGAGGAAACCTCAACCTTTATAACATACCTTGGCTCAGAAATATTCCCCTGCGTCTGCGGTATCGATTCCAAGCCCGGGTTTAGTGATCCCACCCCCACGACCGCATGATCCACGTTTTCAGAATACCCGAAATGTGGTTCCAGCGCTAGGTTTGTGGGAGACTGATAAATATCTGTATTGGGGTGGTCATGAGTGTTGCTCTGCATGCTACCTGGAATTGTTGCTGGCATCGGCGGTGCCAAGTACATTTCTGGTCCATCGCTGGGCCAGAAGATCCGATGGTCGGCGTGGACTTGGGCATTTCCATGGTTGCTATTCGGAGTTGTGGTGTTACCGAAGATTGTAGGTGCCGTCAAATAAGAGGGAGTGTGGCCCTGGTGGCCCGTATTGAGGTCAGCGTAGTCGGTCAATAGCGGTGCTCTGAGAGGATGGGTTGTTGAAGGAGCGAACGATGAGCCTCGACTCGCCCTTGGAAAGGGCCTACTGTTAGGAGCCTCAGGCATAATAAAGACCTCGGATATGGACAAGTGTGATGCGATTGAGACTCGGGGATCCCGGGGTTTAAGTACTATGCGTGTCGCGCCAGCACCATGTATTCGTTTCAGTTATCTAATCAATGCTGCCTTTCGATACATCATCTTCACTGGTCGGCCAGTTAGTTTTTCTCTTTTCCTTAGGGAAATCTGCCAGGGGTTGGAGTTCCTTGGTGACTGCTATCCCACCACAACTACAGAAGTTGTGTTGATTGGACAACCTGTTGAAATCCAGAACTAACCATTTGAACGTGATGCAGCCAGGGCAAAGCCTGCCATTACGCCTCGGGCTCATCCCATCGCGCCTGAGCGGTGAAGACGTAAATCTATTGAGCTGTTTCTCGTTCTATATTTTCTTGTCGCCGGTGTATTCATTTCCTTCTTCATGTCGTGAGGATCGTCCGATATCATTGGTGTTCCGCCAATCACGAGGATGAGCTACTAGTCCCCCTATAACTATTGACCCACTGGAGATACTGTAAGATTACGAGGGGTTATCAGGGTGGCAATAGGGTCCTGTATGTAGCTAGATGTCGCAGCCTGTGGCACGCTCCGGCCGCAGGCGCCCTGCAAGAGCGCTCTGGCCGCGCTGAATTAGGGTTATCCAAACTACTACTACTACTACTACTACTACTACTACTACTACTACTACTACTACTACTACTACTATTGACCCACTGGCACTTGCCTGGGCGTCTTCTATAGTAGTAGTAGTAGTAGTAAGTAGCCTGTTGTCCAGATCCAACATTATCCGGATACAGTAAATTGAAAGCAGAACCTCATCAGCATCTTCCATTTGAAACGGTAGAAAAAAAAATTGGAAAAAATAAAAAGAGAAAAAAAAAAAAAAAGGGATTCAAATCAAAAGATCAAGGCAAAATAGAAACAGAGAAGGCGGGAAAAACGGAAGGACGAAGGGAGATGAAAATGAGAATGATTATTGTCCTTCTTCACTCTCTGCAGTTTGTACCTGCGCTCTCACCGCTCGTTAGGTACCCATTACTACCCACGCTAAGGTCGGCATAAGCCGATATACGGTACCATTGAGGAGGGAGGAGGGGGGGGGCCCTGGCTAACGCCCCGACACTTGAACAACTTTTTTTGGAACACCATGGTAGGCCCACTGGTTTGATCAGAGGGAAGTTGAAAGTTGAAACACTCCTACATGCTACACGCCGAGACCTCGTTCTCCTCCTCTTGCCGACGCCCGCCGGTCAATCCACCCTCTCTAACACCTATGGCTCGCTTTTTGGGGCGCGACACTACGTGTACAGTTGGATTGGGAGATAAACATTGGCTGATAGGAAGCCCACTATTATGCACGTACCAGGATCATCTTCCTCGCGCACGACGACGGGTGGTCTAGAAATTGACAGTTAAAATCCGTACTAGGAAAAAATCCAGATTCTTTTGGATTACCTGCATGTCAAACCCATTATATCGCGCCAGATGGGGGCGCGTTGTTGGGCTGTAGCCCTCCTCCCCTCCATCTGCGCGCCACTTTCCCTCCCCCCACGCAACCGATTACCCGGCTTTGGTCACCAAGCCGGACGGTTCCACCCCATGCATTTTCCGATCAGACCTAGAGTTTGCTGTTGAGTTCTGGATCTGGGTGGACTGAAGATGGACTAGGGGCTTAACCTCTTGAACGGCCCAGCCCAGCGATGTACTCTCATTACGTAGAGTATGTCGCGGAGAAGATGACTTCACCTTCACTTGGCCTTTGGTTTGCCCGGGCGGTGGAAGCAAGACTCAAAGTGATCTCAATATTTTTCTTCCCTGGTAGGATTTTTCATTATTTTCTCCTTTTTTCTCTTTTTTCTATTTTTCCAATTTTCTCAAATTTTTCCAAATTTTTCCAATTTTTTCCAACTTTCTCCAAATTTTTCCAATTTTTTCCAATTTTTTCCAAATTTTTCCAATTTTTTCCAATTTTTTCCAATTTTTTCCAATTTTTTCCAATTTTTTCCAATTTTTTCCAATTTTTTCCAATTTTTTCCAAATTTCTCCAAATTTTTCCAAATTTTTCCAATTTTTTCCAATTTTTTCCAATTTTTCCCTTTTTTTTTCCCCTCTTTTTTTCTCTTTTTTTGTTTCTTTTTTTCTTTTTTTTCTTTTTTTGGCCACACTAACAGTCAAAACTTATGTGCTAAGTGCTAACAATACCCACATCCCCAGATGTCGACCTTATATGCAAGGCACCGATCGCTGATGACAGCTAGCGCAGTGCTAGGAACGGTGCTCCTTATTATTTATACATGATCTAAAAATGCTCTAGTCCCGAAATGTAATTAAGACAAAAGAAAGAGAACCGAAAAAGGAAAAAAACAAAAATCAAAAATGGACACAGTACAATAGAATCCTGAAAAGAAAGAAAGACCATCAGGTATGAGCCAACCCTTCAGTTTCACGCACGATACATTCCCGAAAGCCATTCCACCCAATGACGACTGCGCATATGGGCTGTCCTATTGTACGCTTGGTTGAATGGCCGACCGCAAACTTCGCAAGGGTAAGACCGAGGAGCGATATGGAGGTTTTTAATATGTCGGAGCAACTCTTCTATCCGGCTAAAGGTTCGTGCATGCGTACAGCCTTCCCATTTGCAGAGAAGTGGTGCATCCCGGGGTCTGTATCGCATCTCTCATCATTAGAATTGGATCATTGTAGAAAAGTATCAACTACCAAGTAGTTGAGTCTCCGTCCTTACATCATAGGTTGTTGCCTGTGACCTCCGTCTGTGCCATGGGCCAGCGCGGGTAGGCCCGCAGCAGCTTCCGGCAAGGGGGCCATGGGTTGGTGGTTCATCACGAAGAACTGTTCTGGAAACTCCACTCGTGGCTGGTACGCATCCAATGGAAGAGCCAGCTGACTGGGGTCGAAGTTGTTGATGGCAGGGGGTGGGGCCATAGCGTTCGGATAGCCAGCGAGATTTTGGTTGACTGGGTCGATGTTGAACGGGAATGCCGCTGCTGGGTCGACTACTTGTACTGAGCTGAAGTACGCATTGTTACCTGGTTGTTGACCAAGGCTTGTTGCAGGTTGAATTTGATGAGTGGCCGGTACGGTAGTAGTAGTAGCAGTATGGCTGACATAACCAGCATTCCCGCTGGAACTGGGTTTGCCACCAGGGACGACGTTCTGCATTGGGAAAATGGTAGTAGTTGTAGAAGATTAGAACCTTTATCAAGGAATTATCAAAGTCCTATGAGAGAAACAAAAAAAACTCAGAAAGAGCTGGGAGAGAATGATTGAACAAGCAGTTGACAGTCCATCATGACCGCGTATATATATCAAGTAAGGTACTTTTGGCGACGGGAGAGCCGCCTAGCCAATCATGGCTGGGAGCTTGACACTGCTTTCAGATGCGGAGGAACAGGATCGGTTCAACTAAAGTCATGACCCCTCTCTTCAGCGGTAAACTTCCTAGGTGCATATTTCTTATTGGTGTACTCATTTTGATTGTTTACATTTCGTTGTACTTCATACTGACTTTCTTCCTCAATTGTCTGGTATCAATAATAGCCACTTACAAGGCTCTATCTATACTCTCCTCTTTGCTCTGTCAGCTAGTATAAGTACCTCCCCGTATGATGATTTAACTTGTGTAGCTAATACTTTACCAGTCAAGCGACTTATCGCACTTAAAAAGTAGTAAACGTCCTTACTGTAAAGTGATAACACTATCAGGAATATTTCTGCTTTTTACTACTTATTATAATCCTTCTGCCGGCCAGCAGCACACCAGTAATAGACAAAAAAAACATTCCACACTTGTAGAAGCAATTATAAGATCTGTACAGACAGTACGGAAAACATCAAGTAGACGTCAAGAACTGATTGTTGGGCGACGCGGCGGGCAGGAATCCGCTCTCAGGATTCTGCCGGTAAGTCCGAGTCCAGCACGAATGCGACCTGCGAACCCCCCCCCCCCCGGGCCCAACACCGCCCCTCCCAACCAATCCATGGTTTATCTGACATGCGACCAGAATACCCAGAAGTTTGTGATTAACGTAGTACACGTGATCCGTAATCTCATAGATACTAGAGTTCTCCGTAGTAAAATAGTTTCCTACACTGTGTTACAAAGGTCCTGAAACTACTCTGCGCACATCTTACTATGGCAAATCCTGTGGTATGAACAGATGATTCTGTAGCATACTCCATTGATCATGCTTCGGTAACATACTGGATTTGCTAAGATAGCTAGCTTCAGATACACAACAAACCGGGCGTGGCTCACGCCCATGATGGCTTTCTGGCGACAAATCAACATGGCAAGGTTCTTAAGTAAGGGGCAAAGGGTGCGTGAGGCTGGGGTGACTTTCGCCTGCAGGCTTAAGCCCGAGTGGGCGCTTCTCTGAGGGTGCAGCGAATATGGGAGGACGGTTGTGCAAGGAAGGCAATCCTTCCGAAGAAAAGCGAGCCCACCGCTTCTGCAGTGAGATTGTTCCGATGGTCGTTACTAGTTGTGAACAGAATCTCTTACTGGTAGGGGCTGAAAATACGTATGATCTGCCGGACCTGGGACAACATACGTCCCCTTAGGTGTACTGAGATATACTTGGGAACCATGGGTCCGCAGACGGGCGGGTAATCAAATTATTGCTCGCCTTTGATGATGATTCGGCTTTCCTGGATCGTTTCTTACAAGTTGTGCGGGTGTTGATCCTTAACGCGGACTACGTCTAGAACCAGGTCCATAAACAGTGTAAAGATGATAATAATTGTAATATTCTGCTTTTATACCCTGCCGATTGACAAAATTTAATCTTATCTACTCGTGGGCCCTGCAGCTACCCAAGAGATTCTTTCGAACTGCCTCGCATCGTTTTTAAACAAGACCATGCTTCCCCGTCCCATGATTAATACGCAATTTGGTACCTTTCAAGCTGCTTGGGCTTTATTCACGCCGATAGTAGTGTGTCTTTTATTATCACTCTTACTGTGTGTGGGAGTTGCAGTGGTAGGCAGCACAATTTCCGCTGCGCTTCAGCCTTTCCTGCCTCAGGCAACACGTCTTCACTCTCCGTATACCTTACGTAATACTGATGCACAGTTATGAAGACCATAGGTACGAGTAGGCGATTAAACGTTTACGGTATGGTTGGAGACTTGGTGAAATTCTGGCTTTGCTGAGGCTCATTCAAGCAAGCGCTACTGTATGTTGGAACTGCCATACCATCAGTTCGTTGTCAAAATTTCGTTTGTGTACTATAGCCGGTCATATGCGGTGCAGCGGATATACACGGCCCATCTATTATTACCTGAATGTAGCTATAGGGGCATCGTCTGATTGCCAGAAACCTAGAGAATAGAGAAAATTGACAAATTTTTCGAGGAACACACTGATACTAAACAAGTTACATATCTGCTTGCAGCCCACAGAAGACATGAAGATTATGATGAGTGTGGGTATGTGAGCTATTTTGATAGGGCTGACGATTGATGCAAGAAATGACCCGAATTCACCGACAAATGCTCCTCCCAACGAGCCATCTGGCTGCATAGTGCATATCTGAAGGTAGCATTGACGCATCCTTTCAAGCAACCACAGTGACTATGTGGGTCTATGTTTGTGTGGGTGATCAGATGTGGCGGTGTGGAGTGAAGCAACAAATTAGAATTATAGTCCGGTGCGGGAGGGAAAATAGGTGTGACCATCACATGCCCCACTAAGTCAATCTTAATACTTCAAGTTGGGGAGGTCCTGTTCTGGAAAGGAACACTAGCTAGCCTTGTAGCATTGCTTGGTTTCTTTCAGTTGCAGACCATTATAATACCTTTTGGCATCTTCTGCTGCTTAGGCTGCGTTTTCAACAATTAATTTCTTCGTCTCCTATACCTCTGGTGACCAAGTCTGCGAAGCTTTACTCAATTTTGTTGTGAAAGGAAGAAACGCAATAGGCCGCCTTCTTTTCCATCTTATCCCACACCGAGAAACTTCACCCTGTTACTTCCCGTAAACGGGAATAATATAACCTATCATGCCTGGATCACACATGGTTATTGAGATAGCTGGCATTATGATGTCCCTGTTGCATTCCCTCCAACAGAGGACCCAGTCATGTTCGGCTTCCCAACATCTGGGTGACGCGATACCATTCAAAAGAGCCCCCGCCCCCAAAAATAGGTTAGTTTGGGGAATAGATTTTTCATTATTGATACTCCATCCTCTCGTCCATTGAGCTGGAAGGAATAAGGGATACCGGTCGTCAGAGCAAAGCTTTCCAGGTAAAATCAGGACAGAACCATAGCCACAGCCGTGGTTCTGCGTTCCCGTCTCCACATAACTATGCTATTCGTACTTTCCATGATCTTGATATAGTAGTACGCAGGTGTAATCCACTTCGCGGGGGTGGTAACAAGAGCCGTGCTTGATTGCAGCCACCAGACAACAAGCCTGTATGGGGGCCCTGATTTTACCCACCCGACATACTGAGTATTCTCGGTTGACCTCGGAACCTGACTCCATGTCTCCAGTTGCTTCAAATGATTTCTTCTATATATAGTTTCAACATGCCAATTACGCGTCCTTTGAATCTGTTTTGGGTTTGTGAAATGTCCGCACATGTCTCTTTGGTTCCTGCTTCCGGCTGAAAGGTTTCTTGTATGTGCAGCCCTGCCAACGACATCTGAGATCGGCTGTCTAGTAGATTATCAAATCAGTCTCATTTTCATCATAACCTCGTTAACCCCTGGTACTATATCTTGGTCGGGGCATGTTCGCATTGCATTGGATATAAGGACATTTGGTGATGAAGTCAAAGCCTGGGTATACTGCTGGAATATTGAGCTTTCTGAGTACGTTAAAGCCTGTGGCTTATCGTTCTCATTCCCTCGACTCGATAGATCTTGAGAACATCACCTGCTGCGGTGATATCATGGTTCTATAGCTTAAAGAAGCCTACATGAACCCGGTAATGTTCTCTATGCCTTTCCTCTCCAGTCAGTGTGGGTCGATTATCAGATCCCCTCACTCCCGTACAAGGTTCCGCAACCGCCATTCCACATGTGCACATTTATCTTCAACCCTACCCACTCCTATACTGTAGACATTATGGGACCGAGCAAACGGAGAATTCAATATGCTGCTTCCCGGCAACGAACCAGCAGTAACCGCATTCGGGATTTTAGGCGTCACAAAGTCTTGGAAACAAGAAACGGGGATCTACCGCGCTGCAGCCTAAGCGCATTCTGCTTTTGACCTGCCGATCAATATTCCCTGACACATGTTCTATATAAATAGAAAAATTGTCTGTTCGCAAGCGCGGAGATGTTTGTAGTACAGATTTGCAAGAGTTCACTTGCTACATAGCTTCATCCTCCACTTGATGAAGATAGTCGAGATGTTTCTGAAATGAAAGCAACTTCCATCAGTATCCTTCGTTGACAACTTCAAACGCAACCCAGCACATGTACAATCCGCAGAACAACCACAGTGGTTTTTGGTCTGGGTTCCAGTCAGGCAACATTCCTTCCTCTCTTCGTCCTTTTTTTCGAAGAAGAAAATTCGTTAAAGCTCGACAAAACAATGCAAAAGAGAGCACATTGCATGCAAATTCACTGCCAATGATGAAGATAGTGCGTGTGGTGCATATGTCTCGGACCCGTCGTGGGTCTCTTGCTCGTAGTACTATTATAACGAGACTTTTACGTCCCCTATTCTGCCATTCGCCTGAGTCTTTGGATCTTATATTTCCCTTTATGGCGTACGGGTGCGTTGGGTCCATGGCATCGAGTTCTCCCACGAGACCCTTCTCATTGTCACTGACTGCAGACCCTCAGTGCTGTTCTTTCGGCACTTCTTGGGAGACTGTCGCGACTCTTTCACCATTTGCTTGGGTATGTTCGGAACCGGCCATGGAGCGTTGTTCAGGCATCTTCTCATGCGGAGTGGCCAGATCAGAAGCATCGATCATCATGTCATCCTGATCTTAGCCAATTAGGTGTTCGTTGATTTATATACCTCATTGATGTTTAATCCACAACTATACTCGAGGCTGAAGCCTACAGACTGGTAGAAAATCAGCAGATGGTACTGCTTATAATCTTTTCGGAGGTGCAGCTAAGGTAAGGTGTAATCCGTTATCAGGACGGAATGTCCCTGGCTAGTTTCTCTAATCTCCGCCGTTACATAGTTTGGCTGATGGAAATTGCCAGTCTATGGGTAGCCCAAGGGGCAGCAGCCATATGGAAGATTGCGGGAGTGAGGAATTGAATCGTTGTGATACTTTTCCATCTCTCAATACTAGACTTCTAATCTCCTTGTCTTACCGCTCATCGGCCAACCGCATAAAGACTTATGTGTCACCATATCATGGAGCCCATAACTTATCCCTTTGTCTTTCAGAGGTTTGATGCACAAGACTAATATCCTGTAAATTATTTTTAGTCCTTGTCATCTTCGTACCGAATGCAGTTGATCATCTTAGCTACTCCATTTTCCCACAATCTCTATCCCTCCTCCCTCCTAAGTATTTCCAGCATCCTTAATAACCGACTCCGCAATCTTTAAAGCCATGGCATAAAACACCGTCATAACATGTGACGACAACTGCGTCGGCGGAATCGAGCCATCCACCACCCTCAACCCCTTCACATCATACACCTTAGCATCCGAATCCACAACACCACCTAGGTCCCTCTTCATCATGGAACATGTCCCCACCCCATGATAATTAGCGCGATAGTTTTGCTTCACATAATCGGCCCATTGACTCAGATTCGCTCCCTGTGGCACATATCTCCCCGGAACCTGCTCCTTGTCCACATACTGTTTCATGTCATGCGTATTGGTCATTTGCCGTGCCAGCCGCGTCGCAGCAGCTTGGCCGTACAAGTCTAAAATGTTCTCGAAGTAGCGTGGGTTGTATTCGAAGCTGCGGAGGTAGGGGTCGTTATCCAGGATCTTGACGTACCCCCGGGTGAATGGGATGAGGTTCCACAGGTCGAAGTGAGTGCTGTTGTCGGTATCGAGAAATAGCTCGGCGTAGGATACTTTGTCGGTTAGGAGCCAGTCTCGGTAGTTCTTGTATTGTTTTAGGAGGTTGGCCTTGTCGGGAAATCCGTTGCCTTTGACTGCGTGTTCGGCCCATTTGTCCAACTCTTTGTCGTCGTTCAGGATCTTTTTCATCTGTTCAGCTTCGTCGCCGAAGATCTCTTCAAAGGTTGCAAAGTAGGCTGCTTGACCCTGGCCGTTACCTGATTCCTTCGGCTTCGTAACTACCGAAGTAGTTGTTTGATCCTGCAGGTTATACCCCACTGGAAGGTCCAATTTCTGTTCGATTCCCGCCGCATCAAGCCAGGCTTTAGGACCGATCCCCGACCACTGCAGGATAAGGGGAGAGATTGTAGATCCGGCTGCCAAAAGGACCTCCTTCCTAGCCCAAGCATCCCACTTCCACTCCGGCTTCTTATGCACTCCAAACTCCACACCCTTCGCCTGCCACTTTGCCCCCATCCTCAAAGCCGCGCCATTATCCAAATGGACCTTCCCAACCAGCTCCCCCGTCAAAACAGTGATATACTGACTCAACTCCTGATCATCTAAAATCGGCTTCAACCACGATCTCGCAGCATCCGTCCTTACCTGCTCATTAGTGAGCGTATTCAAAAACATCGACACCCCAGTTGGATCCCCACAACAGAAGTCCTTCTGATTCACCACCCCACTATACGTTTTCTTCACCGTGCTCATCAACGCCCCAATCAACGGCGACCACCCATACCCGCGATCCCTCGCCCCTACCTTTACCTTCCCCTTCTCCGGCTCCCTATTATGACACCCAGCATCGAAGCTATGCAACGACCCAGCCGTAATATTATCCGTTTTTGGATCCCTCGGCACCTCAACCTCATCCATCTTCCCCTTCAATGCCGCCCAACTCCACCCCGTATTCTCAAAGACCTTTTCCCACGAATCAAGCTGCGACTTGTGAGGTCTCGTCCACGATCCGCCGTTGATTAGTGTTGACCCTCCGAGCCCATTCCCTGACCGAACGAGTCTAATGTCCTTGTCTAGACCGGTTTCCCCGTCATTACCGACAAGCTGCGGACTCGTCTCATAGGCATGGTCAACGCTGCTGCCAAATACCTGGCCGTAGGTATTGAGGTCGTCGATCTTGGGTCCGTATTCCCAGGCATAGAACCCGCTTTCGATCACTAGGACGGTGTATTTCTTCTCAGAGACTAGCTTTGCGGCAAGGGTTAGGCCGGTGAGTCCCCCGCCAGCGATTATGTAGTCAAAGGTTTGGTTGTGGATTATGCGGGGGTCGTCGGTGATGCCGTGGGGGATGGTGTTGGTGTTGAAGTTGTGTACATCGTCGTGTGGAGTATGCGAATTGGTAGAGAAAGATGGGATAGTATGTTGTAAGGGGGCTTGGAAGTTCTCTGCCAGGACATTGGAGAGAAGTAAAGCTGGAGCAAAGAAGAGCAGCTGCATGTTGGTGATCAAGGCGGCCCACGGGGTTGATCTTGCATTAGGCTAGGCTAGCGAAGGAACTGGTTTAGGATGGATTAAGGTAGACGATATATGCTCTAAATTCTAGCCACATAAATGCAGACCGTTCCAGACCTTTACTCCTGCCATGATTAAGTGGCCCTTATCCATGGTCTGAAGTCCAGCGGTGGCATGTTCATAGCTGATGGCCAGGCCCTACGCCACATGTTGATGGCGTCAGGTATAAGAAGGCGTATAAGATACCATTGGGGCATAAACTCCAATATGATTATGATTACTTAGAACCGGTCTCGAATATCACTTCTGGCAAGAAAAGAAAGGCCTGGCACTAGTTTCGGGGTAAAAAAACTCCGAAAAAGAAAGCCCAACGCGGGGCTCGAACCCGCAGCCTTGAGATTAAGAGTCTCACGCTCTACCGATTGAGCTAGCCGGGCTAGTTCGGTGAAAGTAGATTAATAAAACTGCTTGCTTAACAGATTCTATCGTTGGGACAGGTTTTTACTTGGTTGACTCGGAGTCATGATAGTGGGCACTGCGAAAGATAACCTAAACCATGGATTTGGAGGGAAGGTGGGGGAAGCTGAAGGTCTGTGTCGAATGAGAAGCGCCGATTCGGATCCGAAGTCATTCATATCCTAATATCTTCAACTGTCACTATTTCCTTTATCTCGAGGGCTAGATTCCCATGCTGTTCACAAGTAGCCAGCAATATTGCCTTTGGTGGTGGATGTCGGGCCGGGCCTGGATTGCACTGCAACCCGTTTGTTCCAACTTTCCGGGGAATTGCTCGCTCACCATATCAATTTCGGATAAACATCATAACATTAGTACGAGTCATCCATAACAAATTGCAGCCACTGCATCAATTGGTTTCTCGGCGTGGACTCACGTTACTTTCGTGGCTTCATATCTGACATACCAATGACCCCGACTACCAACTTTATTACCCTTCGGCCGAAACACAACACAAACAATCATAATATACATCAAAGTCTAGATGCAATTCCATTGTCAAGCAAGCCCGTATGTACCAACCATTGGTCGGAGTTTCTAACTTGTTTTGTTTCTCCAAGGCCAGTCTATTCAGTTGACCGATCTACCCTGTTAGCAAGTAAACCGAAGTCAAGGACTTTCCCAGTAGTAAAAGGACCGCCATTCCCGGAAAATATATACCCTCTTATTTCATTGGCCTTTTCACCCATCCAGCCATACATCCTATCCATCCAATCAGTTCCCGTGCGACACGCACTTGCATCAGGCAGGTGTGCCAAATCATATTTCGGCCCGACATGTGTGCCCTACCTATGGTATATAGTTATCCCCAACGCTCTGATACAGCAGGTCTGGCATGATATAGCCGACACTATGGTTCTTTCTAACACATAACAACACCGGTCTGCGACGCGATCGACACGATGGTAGTCAGCTGGTTATATCTATTCCAACCAGCCATGCTAACAGTTCAACGGATAAAAGAGGATCACTCGAATGAAGTTTGAACGAATAAGAACTCAACATGAGAGGTGATATTTAGCTAAATAACTATTAACCCAGCAACAGCACCCATGAAGTATCCGATCTACTCCACCAAAACCGCCAACTTCTTCCACCACGTATCCCTAACTCTTTCCGGCTTCTCCGCCTCCATGATCTCCCTCAATCCGGTATGCAAATCGACCTCCTCACTCCTCCACGCCCACGGATCATTCCAGTACACGATCCGATGAACAGCATATAACACCAAGAACGCGGGAATACCGATATACGCCGTGAAGAAGTTACTGGCGGACCACTCGGAGGGAAAGAAGCAGGTGAATCCATTGATCAAAGCGAGGAAGGTCGAGCCCGCCAGACCGATGTACATACCCCATGGCTGCATGCGCGATGAATAGGGTTTCTCGACGCCCTGCACTTTGACGGCTTTGTTGAAGCGGAAGTACACGACACTGCAACAGAACCAGGAGATGAAGCCGGAGGTGTTGGTGAAGTTGATGAGCCAGTTGAAGACGGTGTAACTGCCGCTGCCGACGGCCATGTAGGCGAGGAGGGAGAAGAGGGAGGAAATGGCCACGGCGAAGTACGGTACGCCCCAGCGGTTGCAGGCTTTGAAGATGCTGGGGGCGTTGCCGGAGACGGCGAGGGAGTACAGTGAGCGCGAGGACATGTACAGGAAGGAGTTGCCGGCGGACCAGGCGGAGGTGAGGATCGCAGCGTTGACGATGCTGGGGAGGACGGGGATGCCTGCGTTGGAGATCGCCACGACGAAGGGGGAGGAGGAGGCGTCGGTGCCGGAGCCGGCGGTTAGTTGTTTGGCGTTGGAGGAGCAGATGACTCCGATGGCGAGGGCTGCGAGGACGTAGAATATGACGAGACGGTAGATGTATCGACGGGCGGCTTTGGGGACGTTGCGACGAGGGGATTCCATTTCGCCGCCACTGATGACGACTAATTCGGGCGCGAAGATGAATGCGATGGCTGATTTGACGATGCACTGCAGAAGGCCGACGAAGCGACCGGCATCACCGGAGACAAGGTAGGTGTTCATGACTCCGGGGTCTTTCCAGTAGTGAAAGCCGAGGCGTTGACGGTTGGGACCACCGCCCCAGAAGAGTATGAAGGACAAGAGCAGCAACCCGACCAGGGTGATGATTTTAATGCCGGAGAACCAGAACTCAGTTTCGCCATATACGCCCACCGGTAGACAATTGAGAAGGACGATAACAACCAGCATGATGGTGATCCACACGGCCAAATTGACGTTCGGATGCCAGTAATCGATGACCATGGAGGCTGCGACAACCTCATACGGCACCAAAATTCCCAGCGAATACCAATACAAGTATCCCATTGCAAACCCCATACTGCGCGAGACGTAGCGAAAGCCATGATAGCTCATTGTTCCACCGTGAACGGGCATGTAGGCGCCGATTTCCGCGATTCCCGTGACAAGGGCGAAGACGAGGACAGAAATGAAGATATAACCGAGCAAGAGGGAAAGAGGACCGCCGATATGTAAAGCCTGACCAGATCCGACGAAGAGACCGGTACCGATTGTGCCTCCCAGGGCCATGAGCTGGACATGACGGTTTTTAAGGCCGCGCTGGGTGACCTTGTATCGTTCATCGAGGAGGTCGCGCGCGATCATCTCATGCAAAGCACCCGATTTCAGATCACCGGCTGCGATGCCCGACTCGGGGTCCGGATGTGATGTGGACGCCATTTCTGGTTTCTCTGATGGGGCCATGGTGTACGAAGACACTGCGAAGGGGAAGGGAGACGAGGTGAGGGTGAAGAAGTGGGCATCTCAAGGTGACAGAAGAGCAACGTCGTGCGACGTGCCCTGGTTATAAGTAACGGGAAAGCATAACGCTGTCCTCGTACCACTCGTGCCCTTGGCATGACATCGCTTACAGTAGGACAATCCCCGCAACCGGGACGGTCAGTGGCATTAACCAGTGAAATACATTGGATTCATGACGGTCGGGGGCATCCAGATGAATAGGGAATAGACGGGACAAGATAAGAAGATGCGGGGGAAATTAAGTTGCTGGGCGTGATTGGTGCTCGCGTGATGGTGCATCGGGCTCAAGACACGCTTATCAGCCACTCTTTCACCTCGCTTCCTTTGCCAATGCGCTCCTTAACCGGCCACCGGAAGGGATATGCAGGATTCCTGGTGAGGTGCAACCTTGTGGCAGCTCTTCCCCTGACTGGCTGCTGTGGCGTCCCGTGCCTCGGTTCTGTCTAGCGTGTCTCCTCCTGCCCTATCCTAGTCCAGCTGGCTATCGCTTCCTCTCGTATCGCCGAAATCCTAGCCTCACCCAGGGTCTTGCATACCCCTGAACCCTCTTTTTAAGCTCTCCCAACGCCTTCTACCGGTCCGGCCACCGGTCCGGCTGCTCGGTGGTCGTCCAGAAACTGTCATCCTATTCGGGGAGCTACCCGGTGTTGTACATATGCGCCATGCAGGCGTTGAGCCGGATCAGGCTCGCTTAGTTTGGTATGTGTTTCATATGATAAGAAGTATACTGAGCCAATCTTTGCCAGTCTTCTGGCCTATGTCTGCTCACATGTCGGCCATTGACTAGTAATAGACCAGCCACTGATAATAACACCTATACACCAAAGACGGGTGCAACATACATGCTAGCCTAGCCATGGCCTATTGGCCAAGCACGGTATCTCCTAGATAGCACTCACCCGGCTATCGCCCGGCAACTAGGAGTAATTATCACCACCCCATCCCAGGAATCGATCCCACTGCATCACGACCACGCCACGCTCCCGTCTCTCTCTCCCCAATGAATCAAGCAGCTGCATCTCCGGTGCCGTCAAGATCCTCCCCTCCTGATTCCGCTCCAGCGCCGCCTGCGTCACCGCCGGAGCTAGTTCGTCCGCTATGGCAGCCTCATCGCGATGGCGCGCATACCGCGTTTCGCCCTCCTCAACTCGCGAGAAATACCACACCGACCGGACGATGTCGTAGCGACGCTCAAGCAAAAATATAATCGGCCACGCGAGGATCCACACCTGGAGGATGATACAGAGAAAGTACACCCAGGCATTGTTGCGTAGCTTGTTCACCCAGTGGGGGTTGTATACTATTAAGTCGCGATTCGCCATGTCAACTGTGATGCTAATGTCGCCTCTGTATTGCAGACTGCGCAGATGGGATGTCAATGAGGAGATCAGAACAGAGCCATCGAAGCCGACGATGCTGCGGGAGAATTTGAACCTGCACAAGTCAGCATGCCGTAGGTAAATGTTTACTACCGGGGGAAGCGCACGATTTAACAGTAGACGGATCATCGCAGTATCGCTCACACCAGCCCATCAAGCTAGGACCTCCCTCGTCCTGTCGCACCAACCCGGTCGCCTCGTGATCGAGTCCTTCCTCCAGTTGCACGAATCGTGAGCGTAGTCGCTCTCCCACTCGCTGTCGGATTCGCTGTCCCAGTGGCCCTTTCCTTCGGCCCGACCACGTCTCTGACTTGAATCGTCCACCACGGTAGGTCTTTCGCGTATCATTATCCCGCACAACACTCAGCACATGCCATCCATCCTGGGTAGGGTCCAGGTCCAGTCCCAGGTCATCGTCGTCGCCATACTGCTGGGTTCCATGCTCGTGGCGTACTATGTATCCGTAGAGATCAACCTTGAAGGCAAAGTCCACAATCGTCTCCTTACGATCCTCCTTGCGATGGTGGTCGTGGCGGGTCTCGGTGTGGGAACCGCGCACGGTCAGGTACGGTCGCGGCGGGAACTCGGCTTGCTGGGTGATGAGGGCGTGCAGGGACGAGGCATCTTCGCTGAGAGATGGAGCGAGGGTGACGGTGGAAGAGTCGCGGTTGCCCGAGTGGACGCTGTGGTAGGGTTGACTTTCAGGAATGGGGGCATCGGGAAGATGAGGAAAGGAGAAGGTGGTTGCAGGTGGTGGAGGTGGTGGTGCTGGCCGGGAGGCGGCGGGGAGATTGGGATCACTAGCCACCGTCTCTTCGTAGGATGGGGGAAGATCTTTCGGTCGGCCCATGTTGGGGGAGTATTGCCAGTGACTTTTGAGGTTATGTGCTGCTATAAATTTGTAAAAGAATGAAGACCGATAGATCAATCCAGCGATATTACTGTGCAGCCTAAAGATCTGCTGTTGTGAAGAGTCAGATAGTAAGACGAGGCTGTGTTGCAGGGCAGATTCGGGCTTGGCGGCGAGGCTGTCCATTGCGGCCTCAGGTTGCTGCCTACTTTAGGGGATATGCTATAATTGCAGAATATTTCAGAACATTGACATAGATATCATGAACATAGTATTGACATAAATCATAAACCATAACTCAATTCATCACGCAAAGATGCACCACAAATAACACTGAAAGCACAATTTACGAAGGGCCATCATATAAACGCGCCCTTTCTGACCCTCCTCGCCAAATCATCTATCTTCCCATCCAAATCTGCATGTACAGACCTATCCAAAATATAAAATCTTCCTTCAGAATCACCAGTCTCCTCCAACGGAATACGGAGTAGCTGCGTGACCCGCAAGAACTGCTCGCGGATCCACTGAAGCTGTCCAGGTCGGAGAAAAGACACCATTCCCTGACCATAGTCCTCTATGAAAAATTCCACCACACGACTCAGCATACTCATGATATGCCACGGCCCTTGGGCAATAATATGGCTTCTGTGCTCGTCTTCTGACTTTTGCGCGGACTTTTGCTGGTTGGCGTTTCCTAGTAAGCGATAGCTAGGAAGCCGAATTGATGGGTCGGTCAAGTCGGGAATACTCAACAATCCGCCCTGGTTACCAAGGTAAAAAGGTACGCTGTAGCAGACCGAGTCGATAAGCTCCTGGAGAATGTACTTATATTTGGCGAAGTCTTCATCTCCCGTTGAGATTCCAGCATCTGAATGCGCAAGACGCCCTGGTGGGTTCGTACTAAGCGAGCTGAGAATGATCTTGACGAGCAAGAGACGTTGAGCGCGCCATTCATTCCATAGTGTTCCAACCTGGCATGAAATATAAACGTCGCAGATGGAATTGTAGGTTGGTATCGATGGGTCGAGGGAACTTCCATCCGTGAGTCTCACGGGCTGCAAATGTTGCGGGACCTTTCGTGCCCAAGCCAGAAGTTGTTCGTCAATGCGTTTTGCCTCGGCTATCCAATTTCTGGGAATCTCTGTAGAAGACACAAAGCTGTTATGTGCTGCCTGCTGCCAATAACTTGCATGTAACTCGGCAACAAACGCGCCGATTGCATCCAGGGCGGGCCCAAAATTACCTGGCGCAATTTTCGGTTCTATGCACCCAATACGAGAATGGGCCGTGCTCTGCAGCAGCCGTTTCTGACGTATCGCCGAGGAGATTTCAATATGCAGGATATATCGCCGAATGTGGGCCATGAGTGACCCATCGGGACAATTCTGATCGGTAAATGGGAGCAGGGAGACGGCTGCGTCGTGGTGGACCCTTGTGGCTGATTTTCTCCCGTATATGACAGCGAAATTTTCATAGAATTGCAGTGCTAATACTGCTAGAATGGTTGCTGGATTTGTCCACTCATTGCGATCCTTGATGGTCTTTCGAAGACAATTGATGGCCTGGGCATACGTTTCCCGTGATGCTCGGGAGCTACTCTCGTGTCGCCAACGCGACATTATCTCCGAAGCCACGGCAGTCACCGCGAGTGAGAGCGCCGAGTTCTGCTTCTCAGAAGCGTATACTGGGACTAACATCTCGAAAAACCCACGGGAAGATCTCATGTCGCGACCCATCATTGCGTAATGCCGAATGAAGAATGGGACAGCAGGGTCGGGGTCGGATAGCGATCGCAAGCAAGGAACCAGTTGCTGATTCTGGGCTGCATGCCTCGAAGCAATGTCATTGCACACTTTGGAGGTTTGGTCTTTGAACCTTATCTTGACAGGCTTCGGTTTGTAGCCCCCGCAGCGAATGTTGAGGCGTTGACACGAGTGACATTCTGGCTTCGCCTCGTCACATTTGACCCGTCGTGATTTGCATGTAACGCATCCTGCAGAGGGGCCGTAATTGACCATATTGAGAGTGGGGTGGCCCAAAGAAGCGATGATGTTGCGACAGAAGGAACAACTCTAATCGTTCATGAGTAAATGGATTAAATAGGGGTCCAACATGACAAGGCTGAAGCTCGGCCCCCACTCAGTGCCTGAACACGACGCAGAATCAGGCTAGCTGTGCGGAGGCTGCAACTGCGGCTGAGATTCTGTCCTACGGGATGGGGTCTTGGCCATGTCTGTCGCAAAAAAGATACCAAGTTGGGTATAGTGTGGCACTGCTATAACTTTAAACATGCTTGAGTCTGGGGTTTCAGCTGTCCAGATAAGCAAATCTGCAGGGTTTGATCTGCCAAGACTATTAATAGCTGAGCCTCTGTCGGGTTCTAATTTATCTCACAGTGCTGTTTAAGGTCATCCCTTCGCAAAACCCTAACCCATCTGGGCAATGTTGATGTCTTCTGAAACGATGCATCGCCCGCAGGAACAAGAGCCCGGGCCGGTAAATAGGGTGCTCGAGCACGAAAGATGTATAAATCCACCTTCTCAGTAACCACCAACATGCTTCGAATGCATCACATTGCAAAATTCCACACTCAGAACCTCGACTTATCCTATTCCTCCTCGACCACACCCAACAACTCATCAAAATGGTCAAACCCACCCGGCCCCCAGCCAACAACTTCGTAGCCACCGCCCGCAAGATCTACAATCCGATCGGCTTCGCCAAAGGCTACAACTTCATCCTATGGATGATATCCGCCGGCGCCTTACTCGGCTTCTCCCTCGCCCGACTCATGTACCTCAACTTCGACGGCATCTTCTGCCCAGCAGACCAAAACAAAGCCGATGCCCTCCCCGGCGAATGCTTCTACTACCAAGATACCCGCGGCCGCGTCGGCATCCTCCTCCACCTCGGCGCCATCCTCCCAGCCTGTCTCCTCGCCTTCCTCCAATTCGTCCCCGTCATCCGCCACAAAGTCATCCTCTTCCACCGCATCAACGGCTACCTGGTCATCATCGGCTCTTTCACCGGCATGGCCGGCGTGCTAATGATAGCAGAGCACAGCTTCGGCGGTGGCGTGAGCATCCAAATCGCCCTCGGCGTGGCACTCATTATCTTCCTTAGCTGTATCTGCATCGCTTATTATAATATAAAGAGATTGCAGATCGAGCAGCACCGCGCGTGGATGATCCGCGCTTGGGTCTGCGTGAGTTATCCCATACCCCCCACCTTTTTCCCTGAATATTCCGTACTAATACCCAACAGGGCGGCTTCATCATAACCATGCGCATCATCGGCATAACCACCAACAAAGTCCTCGTGGCCCTCGCCCCAAACCAATACTTCGTCTCCTACTCCTGCTCCGAGATCTCCTTCATGCTGAACGGTAACCAATCCGTCGTGCAATCCCTCCATCCGTCCTGCACGGGAGCTAATCCGAACGACCATGTCCTCGTCAACGCTTTCAGCTCCAATGGATCTGGGAATGTGGACCAGGCTGCCGCTGGCCTGGACATCAGTTTCAGTGCTGCGGCGTGGCTCGCGGTCGCTATTCATGTCTTTGCGGCTGAGCTGTATCTCCATCTTACTCCAGCTGAGTCGGCGAGGCTGAGGAGGGTGTCGTATCAGAGACAGTTGGAGGCGGGGATGAGGAGACCCGGGAATATGGGGTTGACGGCGGAAAGGGTTGGTGATGCGGAGCCGTTTTTGATGGTTAAGGGGGAGGAGGGGGGAAAGGGGGGTGGGAGTGAGCATGAAAGTGAGGTGGAGCTTACGAGGGTTGGGGGGAGGTATGAGAGGGATTAGATGGGTGTTGGGTGTTGGGAATTTGGTTTGGGGTGTGTACTGAGTGTTTATAATGATGGGTTACGATGGGACTGGGTAATATGGTTTTTTTCGTCCTTTCTTTGGTTTTTATTCTCCATTTGTTCGATGTATAGATAGCATGTATGATTGATACCAGCAACAAAGCAAGTCCCAGTATACTACCTGATCCTGAGTAAAGTAATCGAAGCGATGATTTGCCTCTCGAATTGTACCCTATCCAAACTTAACGTTCAGTTATCATCCTTCACACCCTCCCTCCGGCGCATTCTTATGTACAATACCCCTCATAATGTATCAACTAGATATATCCACATCTCCCTATCCCCTACGCGCTATCAATAGCAGCCACATGATCCGTGACCAAACACTCATAATCGCTCGTCCCATAGTAGATAGTATTCCCATCATCCGGCGACTCGCCCGTGCTCAAATCATCACCGTACTGCCAGAACAGATCTGCGCTGACGCCCGTCGTGTTGAGGGCTGTCTGCTGCCACGGGCTCTCCACACTGCAGTGGTTCGAGGTGACGCCGTATTCCTCCAGTAGACAGGGCTTGCCGGCCGCTTTGCATGCCGCGCCGTGTGCGCTGATCCATCCGTTGCCCCAGTCGTCGGAGGTGCCCCCTTACTTTTTGTTAGTTCGGATATTGATGGGAAGTACAGGACAGAAGGGGGGAGGTGCATACAGCTATCAGGGTACAAGTGGAGAGTGCCAAAGTCAATAGTATCGATACCGAGGTTCATGGTGAAGTTCAGGCCCTCGGCGAATTGGTACGGGTAGCTGCCGTCCGAGTCGGTGTTGAGGCCGAAGCCCTCTACTTTTCATTAGCACCCACCTTGTTTCAGTCTCGAATATTTGGGGCACTCACCATCACCAATGCAAACCATATGATCCGCATCCAACCCCTTAATAAACTTACTCGTCTTCTCAATCCAATCATACAACACAGTAGTATCACAACTGGGACATCTCGGCTCATTCGCCAACTCCCACGCAAACACCGCCGACGAGTTACTATACCGCTCCACGACCGTCTTGATATACGTCTGATACGCAGATTGCATTGTATCACTCGTATAGAAATCTGTCTCGTCGGATCCGCCATACGCGCTCACGTACGCGGACATACCACCGTAGTCGGTCCAGTAGTTGACAAAGTTGATGATCAATTTGATGCCGTGTTGTTCGGCGGATGAGACGACGTAGTCGAGGCGCTGGAGACCGTCGGCGCCGGTGTTGATTGTTGATTTGCCGTCCTGGTGCAGTTGGTACCAGACTGTGCCGGAGGAGGGCTGTGTGGTGACGTCGTTGAAGCCCCATACGCGGAGGATCTTGAGGCCGGATGACTTTAGGTGGCTCATCACCAGGTCGACGTCCGAGTCGTCTGTTAGGAAGCCGATCCAGTAGCTGTTCGTTCCGGCGAAGTAACCGGTTTCGCCGTCGATGCTGAATTGGAGGCCCGAGGTGCTGGCGAAGGAGGTGGAGGCGCTGCTGCTGCTGGTGCTTGGTGCAGGAGAGGCTTTGGGCAGGGCTGTGGAAAGGTTGGCCAGCGCCAGGCTGGCCAGGGTGAGGAGGGAGCTGGAGAGCTTCATTGTGGTCGTTTGCTTGGCTGCTTATGATACTGAAGTTGTGTGGGTTAAGCTGGCTTTATAGCTACTCTGCCCGCTGCCAGTCGGTTTCTGCTACACGGACTACCCTCCGTTCTGAAATAAGCAGTGACCTGTAGGATGACTGGGAAGAGGTTCTGTCTCCAGTCTTGGACCTCCGGATACCGAGTTGAGAACGGAGCAGTGACGATCATCGTGGCAGTTAATCAATCTGCAGATGCAGGTGTTTTGTCCGTGCTCGATTCGGTATGGCGAGACCCTCTGCGGTTGTTTCAGGTGATCTGAGTGGTTGAATCCTGCGTCAGGGATTGCTGGTGGGGATGATGTGTTACATTTGCGTTGAGTATTTTGATGAAGAGTCTGCTGTTTTATTTTATATTTGTTGCTGGGTTGGTTTCATAGGTGGTGGGTGGTGGATGGATGGTCTGATGGGGTGCGGATGGGTGCGACCGGAGATGAACGGCAATTTTCTATGGGTTATTTATGTCAGTGAGAAGGCAAGATTGACAGGACTAGGATACATATGAGGAAGACTAGATATATGATGATACGGAAAAAGGAATAGTTTCTGCGATAACTGGCTTATTTCTCTCACCGGTCGGCGTGGGGCACTCTGGATAACCACGTGTGTGGCAGCGGGAAGATCGGCGGGACTCCAGTGCGTGTGACCCCAGGAACCACTGGAAACCATCCACAAACAAGGGAAAAGGAAAACAAACTGACAGTATCTCCATTGAAAATCACCTGTCAGTGTCGTTAATACTTTCTGCCGAGTCAGAGGACTTGTGTAGTGGGTTCAATGATGTGTAACGTTATAGCGGGTTTGTCGTCCATCTTCGTCTATCAGTCCCAAATATATATTTCCTCCTTAGTAGTACTATACATGCCCCCTGGTATGCAAATTGTCCCTGCGGTTGCTGGTAATAGCCCACCGGTTATCTAGTAGTAATACTGCTGCGAATATACTTTTTTTTTTTCATTTATAATCACGGTGACTGTAAGACCCGATCTACATCTGTAAAATGATCCCCCTGTCTCATTGAAAGCAGTGTATCTACATCATGGAAGAGCTAGGTAATAAGGATGGTGATGTCTCGAACACTTTTACTGAATTATAAATATTGATTGTTTTTTTCATTTGCAATCGAATCATAGAAGGCTATGCAATGGTCGTATCAAGACAAAGACTTAAGTCAGATCAGTATTGATGCATAAGTACTTGTCTACAATGTATTCGCCTAACTAGCACCAGCTGAAATGTTGAACCTTATACCATTGACCTCAATGGTAACAAGTTAGAATATCGTTAGATCCTAAGTACTAGTGTTACCCGAAGATTTGCCGGGACTACCAATGGAAGGATGGAAACGTATGATGGTAGCAGGTTCTACCCTTCCCCAGCCGGAGTAGCCCTTTGCAAGAGCCTACGATGCTACGACAGAACCACCACCCCAGACCGAGTCTAAAAGTGCTGACACCTTAAATCCGAGAAAAAAAATTCAACCTCATCGCGTGGCTCGGAGTTCACCCCACCCCCTCATCTCCTCATTCTACTAGAGTAGCAGTCGTGCGACTGGAATTGCATGAAGCCGAACGACAGAGGATAAAGTATGATCCGGAGGGCAGGGCTGAACAACCAAGCACAGTCCCTGGAAAGGAGAGAAGAGACAGAGTTTTCCATCCAGATCATCAATGATTGGCTCTCCTTCAGCTATGTTGGTCGGCCCGATGCTGAGACTACCAAGCTAGCGAGACGGCGTTAAGCATAATTGACTGAGTTAATATCGGCGTAAATTGGGATGCAGCAGGTGACGAGCCGATGCTCGGGAGACATTCCTCCAGAGTTCGGACGTGGAAAGGAACAGTCGGAAAAATGTTTCTGAGGAGAGAAATTGTGGGAGGCGGCATGTGGGGAGAAACAGATGTACCGAGCGGGGTGCGGGTTGGGTGTTTGTGGACTGCCGTAGTGCGTGTATGGGGTAGGGTTAGTCATCCATTGTTGTGTCAACAGATGACTAGATCCAGATATTTATCTATAGATAATAGGATATAGAGGATGTCGATAGATAGAGTTTGGATGTAGATCTGTCTTTGTCAGGGGTAAGCTTATAATTAGCAATTCCCAACGCTCTTGGTGTTGGCAGGGTGCTTCTGCATTGTCCATGTGTTTGATGACATTCCCAGCCTGGAGTAAGGAGCGGCACCCCACGGAGAGGCAGATGCAGGGACAACACCCCAGATACCCTGTTTCCCTCCCACAAATTGCAACATCGTGCTGTCTGCATATGGCACCATCACCGCTCATGTTTCTGTAGTCGGCTGACCAGATCTCGGTCGAGTTCACACTTGAATCTTCTTACTTGGAATCTTCGACCAGGATCTGGACTCTCGTCGCTACCGGGTTCCGCGCTACTACGGAAGTGGCGCTGAGGGCTGCCGGGAACCAACTTGCAAACCAGGTATGACATGGTGGTTGCTGTTCCAGAAAGGCGGAGGAAAGCCGGGCCGGGCCTCTCCAAGAGTCCGAAGAAACCAAAGCAGGAAGGTTCCACGGGGATTCTGTTAGTCAGTTAGTCAGCCGGGGTGCCGCCGGAAATTAACTATTAGTTACGCTCCCCCATATGACATACGTCATCTTGCATTAGCCGACCACGTGTGGTAGCCAACCCTAGCCCTCTGGAGTCTGGATGACATCTTTTCCGGAATGTCAGTCTATTAGTCATGTCCCCGGTCGCATGGGGGAATCTGGAGTGGTCAGGGACCATCCCACGCGAAATGAAGGGGATGGAGGGGGAAAGGAAAAAAAAAAAAAAAAAACAACGCATATTATCGCTGATCACCCTGCGTAGTGTATTTTGATTTGCATAGTAAGATTATCGGTCATTATCCTAGTGGTAAATTGAGCACATCAGGTCAGCCCGCGTCGTCATGCCAAGGTGCAAGATGCAGTTTCGCTGACGATGATGTTGCAGCCAAGGCAGCCACAAAGCTTCATTGGATCCGGTGGATGGTTCCAGAGCCAACCAGTGGTGTCGCCGAGTGCCACTGAAAATTCTTGTGTGTGTGCAGTCGGCTCGGTCGGGATTCTGTGGCAGCTGCGCGCGTGCAGGTTTTCGTTTGTTGGCTGAGTAGTCCCTCGTCATGCCGTGAATCGGGGCCGATTCTCTCGGTCGGCCGTGGTCAGTCCCAGACGTTTAGGGTTGGAAATTTCCTCGTGGGCGCAGCACATTTTCGGGCAGGTGACCGACAAGAATCGGGATCGCTAAGGATTGAAATCGGTACAGCATGTCTTGGGATTGCAATGGCCACATCTACAGTTTCCCCAGAATATGCAGAAATGTATCTGAGCGTAGTTCGATCATGATAATGAACTGACGTCTACTAACCTCCGCATTTTCCCCTCTTTTCCCCCCTGCAAGGATAAGAAAATCCGGGATATCGACTCACCGGTCAACGAATATGGGAATCTCCAGGTTGGCATCTCCGGCCCTCCAGGAAATCCCTGCGTTGGGCTCTTTCTCCCACACACTCCAGTCCACACTTCCTCCACCTCCAGTCCGTCTGCTTCCGAGCCAACAAGCGGCGATTTGCCCTGCCGAACTCTGGAGGCCTGCCCGATGGGGTATAGGGCACCGGTCTAGTCCCGAAACAGTGGGTCGCCTCTTTCTCATTAGCCCCGTGACTGGAGAAGGTAAGCGGCTTCTCCACGTTGGGCAAGAATCCCTTTCATTTAGTAGTATTGCTCGCCTCCCCTTCCTCTTTCATGTTCCTGCCCTCCTTCAGCTCGCTTCTCTGCAAAACCTGGCTGACACAGTTGTAAGCAATGACACGGTATCCCGTCTCATCATCCCGATAAATGTACAATACGTTGTATAGTCTTTTCAATCTATAGACTTATGAATCTATCATCTATCAAAACAGGCTTCTAAACGACGCCATATCATTCCGCCTTCTTCCACCCCCCGTTCCATGGCTATTCTCTTACATGCGCCTCCTATCTGTCCTCCCATCCTGACCCAATAATGTTGATCCGTTTTCATCTCCTCCGGCTAAAGTTCTGTCGCCAGAAGCCAGTGCCGATGCGCTGAGCCAACGAGCGTCCGCCACCCGACCCTCCTTGCCCCGAAAGGGCCGTGGAACCCGAAGTTATGCCTGCTCCCCCTGGTACGGCCGGCCCTTCCCCAGCATTTCGGCTGTTCTGACTGGTCTATCGGTTTCGGCCGGCCGTCCATTTTCACTGGTTGACGGCCTCTCGCTCATGAATCGTCTTGGTCGGTCTCCCCCGGCGGCACTCGCTGCGGTGCTGCATCTGATGTCGGCTCTCCACACGTCGGCTCTGACGCCCCCCTCCCCCGTGGATCTCTTTTCCTTGGTGAAATTTTTCTCTCTGTCGTCTCATACGATGGAGGACATAAAAGGGCTTGCATCTCCCCAGATTCGAGCACTTTTCTATCTTCCATCTCAACCCCGACAATCATCACTTATCTTGACTTTTACCCTACGGTGATCTTCAACCAATCCCAACCTAGGGTCTCCTCCTATTACTTTATTTACAACCTTTCCTCTTCTTTATCTTGTCTTTGACTTGACATCCTTCCCCCACTGACAAACAAACAAAACATCCTCCACGTGTCCACCATGGGTGTCGAAACCTCCGTTGACCACGGGGAGAACATCTCCCCGGCGGTCGCTCCCCAGCAGCACTCCAGCCAGGAGTCTTTCCAGAAGCCTCTTGGCGGTGTTGACACCCCTGTCCCACGCGTGACTATGCGGGCCTTCATCATGGCCGTCTTCGTCTCCATGGGTGGTCTCCTCTTCGGTTATGACACTGGTCAGATCTCCGGTTTTGAGCAGGAAACCAACTATCTCCGCCGCTATGGTATGCAGAACGCCGAGGGCGACTGGTACCTGAGTGACGTCCGCTCCGGTCTCTTGACCAGTCTTCTGTCCATTGGTACCCTGGTCGGTGCTCTCGTCGCTGCCCCCATCGCCAACAAGGTCGGCCGCAAGTGGTCCATCACCATCTGGTGTGTTATCCTCATGGTCGGTTTGATCGTCCAGATCTCCGCCCCCTCCGGCAACTGGGTCCAGATGGTCATGGGTCGTTGGACCACTGGTCTGGGTGTTGGTGCTTGCTCCCTGCTCGTCCCAATGTACCAGGGTGAGAGTGCCCCCCGTCACGTCCGTGGTGCCATGGTCAGTTGCTACCAGCTGTTCGTCACCTTCGGTATCTTCCTGGCCTACCTCATCAATTTGGGTACCAACACACTGGAGGGTACTGCCCAATGGCGTATCACTCTCGGTCTGACCTTCCTGTTCGCCATCGTCCTCGGTGGTGGTATGGCTTTCTTCCCCGAGTCTCCTCGTTTCGAATACCGCCACGGCCGCGTCGACCAGGCCCGTGCCACCATGGCCAAGCTGTACGGTGTGCCTGAGAACCACCAGGTCATCCTCCAGGAGCTCGACGAGATCCAGAACCAGCTCGAGGCCGAAACTGGCAGCGAGAAGTGGTACGAATTCCTCACTGCGCCTCGCATGTTCTACCGTATCTGCCTGGGTATGGCCCTGCAGACCCTCCAGCAGCTGACTGGTTCCAACTACTTCTTCTACTACGTATGTATTCCTACAAACATCTCTACAATGGTTCAACATACTAACATCTCATAGGGTACCACCATCTTCAAGGGTGCCGGTCTGTCCAACAGCTTCGTTACTCAGTGCATTCTGGGTGCCGTCAACTTCGCTTGCACCTTCGGTGGTCTGTACACCGTTGAGAACTTCGGTCGTCGCAAGTCCCTGATCTTCGGAGCCCTGTGGATGTTCGTCTGCTTCATGATCTTTGCTTCGATCGGTCACTTCATGCTCGACGTCGCCGATCCCGAGAAGACCCCCGGTGTCGGCAAGGGCATGATTGTGCTTGCTTGCTTCTTCATTGCCGGATACGCCATGACCTGGGCTCCCATGGTCTGGACCATCACCGCCGAGCTGTACCCCTCCAAGTACCGTGCCCAGGGTATGGCTCTGGCCGTTGCTGCCAACTGGGCCTGGAACTTCCTGATCGGTTTCTTCACTCCCTTCATCACCAGCGCCATCGACTTTGCCTACGGATACGTCTTCGCGGGCTGCATGTTCGTCGGAGCCTTTGTCGTTTACTTTTTCGTCATGGAGGGTAAGGGCCGTACTCTTGAGGAGCTTGACTGGCTGTACGTCAACAAGGTCAAGCCCTGGAAGAGCAGCAACTTTGAGATCCCTGCTCTGCACTCCTTCCAGTACGAGGAAGAGCGCAAGCAGTCTCGTTCTTACCACGCTGAGAACGCGTAAATGTCGGTTTAGGAGTTTTGGGAGATTGTCTATATATGTTGATGGATATGGCTTGCATGATACTATCGCATGTTTGCATGTTGCATGATTCGCATGATACCTTATTATTTTATACCATGTACTGTTAATTTATCAGAGTTGATGCATCAACTGGATTTCGAAATTTTATATCCATTCGAGTGATCTTCTTTTCGCTTCTCATTTTACTCTTTGTAGTGATTGATATTGCTCATCTGGGATAAGGTGGTGAGCCTGCATTTTATAGTATTTTCTTCATAGTTCTATCTCTAAGACTCATTAATAGATATTGCAGTCCGGTCAACCATATCTTCACATATGCCATTCATAGCCGTCCATAGAATTCACCCCAATCAATAGTGATGAAACCCCATCATTCAATATCCTCATAGTCATGATAATTCCAAATAGTTTAAATCCCTCCATATATTATCCCAGAATCCTCCCAACAGTTCTACTCATGCTCCCTCATTTTTTCACCATGCAGCACCACCAACCCCAAGATCACGTGAACACCACATCGCCACCCTCGCCACTCCCCCACCCAACCAATCAGCATCACCGACCTTGTCCATGACACCGACACATCTGGAAACGTCGATCGGCATGATGGATCGGCATCATGCTGACTTCGGCATTTAATGGAACCTTCCCGACCACCATGTGACCGCATTCAACCGGCATGTTCCCATCCCTACATGGTGAAGTATATTTCGGGAAGTTGCGAAAAAGCAACATTTATCGGGGGTCTCCGTCGCTTGATGGTTTCCGTCGCTTTATCGCTGAGCATAATGCTAATCGCACGTGAGGTCACGAGGGAGTATATAAGAAAGACTTCAAGTACCAGGTCATGTACCTTCTTTAGGTTTCATGCCTGGAGGTAGGGCGAGGGGGGACATGGTCGATACTTATTTGATTATAATGGGGGGTTTCTATAATATGGTGGGTTTTGAATAGCATTGGCAAAGTGATGTCTCCAGTCTGGTCTGGTTGTTCTGTCGGGTGCTGGGAGATGATTCTTTGAGGTTACAAGAGGGTACTTCCCATGTTGCAGGAGATTGTACAATGGTACATGATGCCTCTTACTGCTCTATAGAGGATGATATCACCAGTCTACTTGAGACTTCTATGCCTGGTCAGAATACAGACCAATCTTTGAAAAAGACACTGGAGAATGGTCTTTTATTCTCCATGCTACCTGCTGGAAGATCCTTCTGAAAAAATACCAGGCGGTAGATGCAATATTGCAAAGGCTAGCAAGATTATAAATGCTAACCTCTATTGTTCATTATGGTGATGGCACATATATTAACAAACCAGGTCGTCATGGCTTTGGGATATTCAACGGCCGAGTTCCAAAGAGACTTTGATAAGGCATCACGACTCGCTCTGGACAATGATGAAGAGAGCTGACGAAGGGAGGTTTATACGCTGGTGAACTTCCTCCAATTTGCCTTTATGTTCTGGGGCGGACATCAGTACTGTCTATGGTAGGATTAGCTTTCAGAGGACATATTTGCTTGACCCATCTGCTATTTGCAAACTACACTCTGGATGATGCTATACATACTGGTGTGGAATAATGGGAGAAGAGAGCAGCAGACCTTGAATTCTTTTTGAATGTGTTTGTCTCTCGCTGACTGGCTAAATGTGTCCGGGTGTTTTGACCCGTGGAAGGACTGGATTACGGTATACTCCAGAGAGAACGTACGGAAAGCTCTAGAGAAATATAACCAGAGGCGCAAGCCAACAATAAAGGCGAATACATTCGCCCACACCCGCAATACCACAGCGGGACCTCCGATGATTGTTCCTGGCAGTGCGGGTCAGTCGACCTGTCAGATGATGACGTGATAGTGTCGCACATCATCTTCATGACGGAGTCTTTGCCGAGGAGGAATACCCAGTGTCTTATCAGCGTGCTGGGCTGCGATCAACATGGTCCACTCAGCTGTTCCAAGGTGGACGACGGGCGTGGGGAAGCCGGGCAGTGTCGACTCTTCGAGAGTCCAAAGATGGCGGGCGCAATGTGAAGTTGGTTGAGGATCTCGAACGTACTGAAGGGCTTGCCAGACGACAACGGGACGAAGAAGACACCACGAATCGTTCTTATCAGTTCAAAGCGAACTGTTCGAACTTTCCATTTCCCGGGGTCTCTGCGCGTATAGAAACTTGACTCAGCCGCACGGCTGCTTGCGAACCCGCCGATATGCAACGGTTGAGGAACGAAGGATGACTGGAGAGAAAGATCATTATTATCAGCAAGTTCCAATACCACAAAACACTCCCTTTCTGAAGCCCTTTGGAATCAATGTGGCCAGTCTTGGTGTTCCTGTCTGTTTCAGGAACCGGGGTAAGGTTTCACAGTACGTTAGCGCTGCAACGACGGGGTTGCTATATTTAGCTCGGCGCCTAAGATAAACATCAGATAACCATGACCACTCGACATTCTTGATGAGGAAGACTGACAACATCGGCGCGTATAGATTTTCTGGACCGTCCAATAGTTGAAGAGGGAGGTATGTGATGATGTGCTCTTACGCAGCCTAATAACATGGACTATAAGAACGGGTTCCAGACACCACCTTCTAGACTCCTAACTGTCCGTTTACATTCATCTACTACTATCTTTCTACTACTGCGAAATCCCAACATACCAACCAAGCACTTAATATATACCACCCACAAACAACTTAATATACTAATCACCATCAACCGCCAAAATGACCACCTTCTACATCCCAGTCGAACTCCTGTCATACTACTATATCACCATCGATATAGACACCCCCATATGGCATCTATTGCCCTGGGGCACACCGTATGACACAACGACAGATTACTGTTCCATCACCAACTCCACCAACATCGAACGGGATATACCATATGACACAAAGACAGAGTACTGTCCCATCACCAACACCACCCACATGGAACGCCAAGACAGCGGCATCTTTATCCCATCAAACACCACCTCCCCCACACTAAGCACCATCAGCATCAACCCAAAACCAACAACACCATCGACAACATATGCTCCACCCAGCCCCCACTGGACAGCTCTAACCACCCAAGCCGAGCAAACCAAAGCTCTCGACTTCCTTACCAACAACTGTCACACAGTCCAAACCCTCCAAGCAGCAAACTACACCGTCACCCCGGATACAACAAAGAACAACATCCGCTTCCAACAAACCCCAGACACGTACAACCCTTCCGCCCGCCTTGCCGTCTCGCTCGATTGCGAAATGGTAACCGACATTTCGGGCCGCACCCAGCTCTGCCAAGTCAGCTTGGTAGACGTCCTCACCGGGGAACTCCTCCTCGATCAACCCGTGCTGCCTACCGAGCCGGTCTTCGACTGGAAGACGAAATGGAGCGGGATGACAGCCGAACTCATGGACCAGCACGTCGCCGCTGGAAGAACGGTGAACGGGTACGAAGGGGCCCGGGCCCGTGTGTGGGATTTCGTCGACCAGAATACGATTCTGGTCGGCCAGAGTCTGAATTTCGACCTCGATGTGTTGGGCATCGTGCATGACAGGGTCGTGGATACGTATCTTCTCATAAGGGGGGAGAGGAGAGGGAGGAGCTGTCGCCTACGAGACATTGTAAGGGATTGCTGTGGGGTCGAGATTCAGAAGGGGGAGGAGGTCCAAGAGGGACATGATTGTGCGGAGGATTGTTATGCTGCCAGGGAGGTGGCATTGTGGGCTGTGGAGAATCTGGGGAAGGATGAAGGTGGAGGTGGGGGTAGTACCCAAGGATTATCCTGTGTCGAGAGTTTCATGTAATGGGTACTACCTCCCGGTGAAGGATTGTGCTTCCTCGTGTGGAGCCGGGTTATACTTTCGAGAATCAGGGGAAAGATGGGGGCAGTACCCGAGGTTTATTTTGTTTTGCGAGCTTCATGTAATGGGTACTATTTCCCGATGGAGGGTTGCGCTTCCTCGTGTGGAGCAATTTCTACTTCTCTACTTCTTGATAGAGTCTACATCAAGAAGTGCGAGTCAAATCTATGATGACTTTTAACTGTCTTCTGCAATTTTTCCTGCGACATGCTACTGTGTCTTGCGTCTTGATGTGCCTCGTGATGCTGGGTGGACTGTTCTGCGCCTGGACGAGAAGAATCGACGTACTATAACGCTCGCGTTGTCCAATCATGGGATACTGATGGTCGGCCAATATTGAATGGTCGACAATTACTATAACACTGTTCTCTTGTCAGGTTTGCCGGAAGCATCATTGGGCTGTTATGGGGGTATGGGGTGAACTCCATGGCTCCTTTCTCATTTGAGGTGGCTCTAATGGTGCAATGTCTGGCTCACCTTGGATGATCTGGCGCGGGTGGTGCAGAGCACTTTGCCTTTTCTATGAACTGATAAAGTCACTACGATGAGATACCCGGTTTACGCTATGAATGAATTGAAGCTATTTACTACGCTTTTGCTGCTGTTTTCCTGTTCTGACTGTAGCTGTGAAGGTGTACTGAACGAGTGACTCATAGTGCTATGTAGCTGTAAGAATGACGAGATATTCGTGGAATAGAAAACGATGGAAAGTAACATGCATCGGCATGACATATGCGTAGAATGAAAGTGTCTTCTGCATACAAAGATGTTCTTTCTCGTCAATACTCTTGCTCGACAAAGGGTGTTCCCGCCATACATTGATGATTTGATATGCACACAAAGAGCATAAAGCTGACAAACCTTAATACGAGCAGCATCAACAATGGCTACAACATACTCCGATTTATTGAACTTGTACATGATATATCCTTACTCACAAGGGCTTCTTCCATACCATTCATGTTGTGTCACACTTATATACAATCATATATACCCCATCTTTGCATGCCATCCAAACAGCATCAACGATTCCACACTGCCAAAGAAGCACAAATTACGTTACACAAATCCAACCCTAAAGCAAAGTCACCAACCACAACTACCACAATGACTACAACAGAATCGACCACAACTACCATGGCTACCCAAGAACCAACCACAACCACAAAACTCATAGCATCATCCACCCCTACCCCCAAAATGGACACCGTCTTCAGCATCGTCGAACTAGTCGAGTGCATCCTCCTCCGCTTCGATCCATTCGACCTGATGCGCGCCCAACTCGTCTGCCGCCAATGGCGCACGCTAATCACCACGCGTAGCCCGCTCCGAGCAGTCCTATTCTACGACTTCGCCCACCCGTACCCCACAGAACCAACCTTCAACCCATTGATGCGATACCTGTTCCCAGTGCTATTCCCCACCCCAGACTTGAGCAAACCTACCTCTCCAATCTTCATGCCTGAAGACATACAGCATATGCGCCTCGGCGACGACACAGCCTACCACCAGGCCGTCTTCCGCCCCGAAGCCTCCTGGCGACGAATGAGACCCATGAATATCCCGTGCCGGGTGCGCAAAGTAGTCCGGAAGACGGTCCGGGACGATCAAAACCCACCGAAGAATCTGCTGGTGTATGATAAAGAGGCCGGACAGGATCCGGTGCTGGGAGCAACGATGGAGCTCGTTTGGGATGTGTTGTTGCATGAGCTAGGGTTTTGGCCGACGAATGGGATGGCAGTAGAGTGGAGGACTGTGAGGGAGGGGAGCGGGGAGTGGGATAATAACTGGAAGGAGGGGGTTAGTGATGAGGAGAAGAAAAGGCTGAGGGCGCCGTATGAGTGCTCGTTTGTGTCTGCGAGTCCGGAGGGGATGCTGGGGAAGTGTGATCGGCGTAAGTTTACGTTTGTGAGAGTGAAGCCGCCGGTTAGGATGACGACAACGGCGGGGGAGTATCTGGGGATGAGGAATCAGTATGCCTTGGATAAGTTTGAGTCGAAGTTTTATGGCCCGGATAAGCCTCCGAAGTTTGCGCATAGGGGGGAGTGGGAGTGGGTTAATGATGATGGGACTAGAACTTACGACTATAACAAATATACGCCCAATGACGAGGATAGAATACGGCCTGTTGAGGATGAGGATGATAGTGGTACGGAGTGGTCTTGGGATGAGGCGAGGGAGTACTTTGAGAGGCCGGATTGCTATTGGGTGCCTACTCATACGCCGCTTTGAGATGATTGGGTTGGGGTATATATAGTCCTGGTTAGATTACTGTCTTCCACCGGTGGTGCTGGGTATGCTGGGTATGCTGGTGATGCTGGGTAGTTGGTAGTGGTAAAAGTACACTCTAGGACTGTGCAATAAGGATTTGCCTATACTGGAAGCGAAATTTTTGAGTTCTCTCATGGAATAGTCATGATTGCTGTAGCTACTAAAGCAATGCTATAGATAGATAAAGTCTTTGCACATGCGGAAATATAGGATTGATTTGCTTTGCGCAGGAAGGGATATGCCTCCAACCAATAGAAATTCGACGAGCAGAAAGCCACAGCAGGTGCCTCTGCTCCACTGACATGACGCAGGAAATAACCAATTGACGGAGAAATGTCTCGTTCCGGATTGCTCCACCCCCGTGCTAAGAAATGATCATCTGCTAAGCTTTGGCGAATTCTTTGGCAGCGCCACCACTTTCAATCCAGCCTATCAAAAGATGGCAGTAATTTGTGTAACATCGTGAAATGAAGAATCCAGTCAAAAATATCCAATATCCGTAGTCATCATGTAGAAGGTATCTAGTTATGTGTGTGACAACAGCAAGGGCGTTGCAAAGGCCGGAACCAGGCCATGATGCACTGATGAGATGATGGAAAGTCACATTCGGATTACGTGGACATTGGACAATGCTTCTGAGCAAAGCGTCGATGTGACAACAAGCTGATAGTATTGTGAGACAGTATAAGTACGCTCGCTTTCCCTACATCTCTGCACAACTGTCATGCTCTAGATTCTCCTAGAGTGTCTCATAACCTCAAGACATACCACGCATAGCCCAAATGGACGCCCTCGACGAACAGAAAAGTCCATTATGCGTGGCATGGGACGATGCTTCCTCAGACCCCGACTGCCCGACGGGAAGCCAAACAACCCCGGGAGACGATAACGGCAACAAAGGACACACGGCTGCGCAAGCAGCACTCGCAATCCCGGAGATTGTAGAGATGATACTTCTCAGACTCGGCTTTGCGGACTTGTTGAGAATGGAACAGGTCTGTCGATCCTGGCAGTTCATAATGAGGGGGTCCATTATCATCCGACGGGCTCTGTTCTTCGAGCAGTCGTCGGCCTCTTATGATGAAAAGCCGGCGCTTAATCCTTTCTTCGAGAAGTGGTTCTGTCCTGGATACTACTGTGAAACCATTGGGGGTTACTTCGTTCAACGCGGGCCAAGCGGGAAGTTCCCATGGTTTGAGGACTCCAAGCTGAAAGAAATCGTCCTATACGAGAAGGCATCATGGCGACGGATGTGGCCATCGACTGTCCCTGTTGTCCTCGAAGCTGTTAGCCTGCACACGAGGAGGCAGGACCCAGAGCCGGGAATTAGTGATCATGTCGACTTGAACAGGGAGCACAGTCTTCTGAGAAGTGATACCAACGGCATGAATCTCAGCGGATTCCTGGAGGCGATGATATCGCTAATGAACCATTCCAAGTCGCCGGAATTCACTGTGTTCTGGAAGAAGACGACAGGTAATAGTGGCAAACCACGTTGGCAACTGATTGCTCTCTTGAATCCAAGCCAGCTGATGTCACCGCGTACTGACACTAAACCGATTTATCCTGGGATTTCGAAGATGAATTTTGCTGAACTCCTTAATGATGATGAGCTGAGCAGATTCCTCTCTTGGACCGAGGTGGTCGACGATTACTATAACACTCATGTTGACTGGTGATAGACTACTGATGGATGCTCAGCAAGGCTATATCAGTATATGGCGGTTACTATGTAACAGGGGGAGTCAGATGCTTGCTGAACATGTTGCTTTATGGATTGATATGTGCACAATAAAATCTTAGATCGATGCTGAAATCAACGTTACACTTTGCTGAAGTCAATACCGTCACAGTCAAAAAGAACAAAAGGCTACCGTATTTGATATTGGCGTACAGTCTCGCTTTCAGTACATTGGAATGCGTCCCCATGTCCTCAATAAATTTGATCGTAAATTTCTCTGAATATGCATCGTTTATTCTATCACAGCTTGGTCAGCAGTGGCCAGCTCGGAAGAGACCAACCATCTGGCGATTTCTTCTGCGGCTTACTGCTATGAGAATTGTTCAATCCCTTTGTAGGAGCTCATGAGCCATTGTTAAGAACACTGATAGTTAGAATTGAGGGCCTGAAGCTCGTTCCACTGGGTATTGCTGACGAGATGTGACTCCTTCCTGATTTCTTGTGCACAAAATAGACAAATGGTTATCGATTCTTTCAATGGTCAAAAGGGATAGTAAATTGCATTATGGAACATACCGATGTTTCTAAGTCCTGTGAATATTGGTTGCAAAGAGCGAAAATATTCTACCTAAAGTTAATTGTCTCGACATGCCGAGGAATATGAATGAGTGACTTCTTCACATTCCATAGGTTTTCGAGGTGATAGGTACAGCAACATGAACACGACAACTAAGGTGCTGCGCCTCCCCGAATTGGTAAAAGAAATCTTGCTCTATTACGATTACCACTTCATCGCTCAACGCGTGTGTTCGCAATGGCAAGCTGTTATCATGCAGTCCCCTAAGATCCGGAGAGCGCTATCTCTAATTCCCAGTGAGCATGGAAAGCCACATATTAATCCTTTCTTTATGACTAAATTATGCCACTGGAAAGACCCCCACATCCAACATGACTACCCCTTCTCTATGAAATTACCCTCAGAGCATGGTGCATGGGTGAACGGCGTCGAACAGCCATTTTCATCCGCGAGCATCCTGGAGACAAATGCTTCCTGCAAGTATCCCTTGTGTATTATCATTCCAGCTCGCAGGACCATTCCAAGACGTGTCCTACTGTTGGAAGAGTACGAAACCCAGTGGTCAGGAGTCCTCCTCCAGCAGTAACAACAATGGGGTGACAATGGGACAGTTCATCGACTACTAGATGGCGTTCAGTAGCCGCTTCGGATGGGACACTTGGTGGAAAACAATCTGCCGAATGTGCACCGCAACGTGGATGGGGAGAAATGCTTCTTCGAGCTTACAATTCTCGGAGTTACCATGACATATGGACAAGCACAAAGATTATGGCGCGTCAAAACTGGTATACCAACCTTGGAAAATCTCATTGACATGGAAGAACTAAGATTACAACTCCCCACTGAAAATGAAGAAGAAGAATGGCAAGATGGACTTATACGCGAGGATCAATATTGTTGCGTTTTGGGGAGCCAATATTTACTAAAAACCACAGGGAAGACGGGAGGCAAACTACCAACTAAGTCTACGTCTCCAATTGGATTGGACCGAGAATTCAGCAAGATAAAGTTATTCACTGCCCCATTCCATTCAATGACCATATAGAACGCAGCCTCTCTGCGCATTTGCTTAGCGATATTGTAAACAGGAATGTGCCTAACCGACACCCAGCATGTATTCTGTAAATTCGCTGTCATCCACACCCGCTAGAAGGAAATAAGTGATGTATTATAGCCCCAAATAAGACAGTGAACATGGGACCTTCCATATATTGGGGACAAAGATTTCACCACTAGAAGACGCCACTTCTGCTTGTTCTGCATGCCAATGAACAACACCATCACGAAAGAGAAATTGAATCCAAATTAGACGGGTATAGACAAAGCTCAGCCAACACAACATGGATTCTCCCACTCGAAGTTTACAAAACAACGACTTACACTCCTCCACAAACACCATTGGGTGACCTTCACAGACATAAATACTAACATGCATAAAAGAAGATATAACTGCCATGGACTGTCCAACATCAGCCCCCTTTCTATATTCAACAAAAGGGTCAAGAAAAGATGTCAACAATGCCTAACCAACACCCCCTCAGCCCACTCATCCCCAGAAGCATTCCCCAAACTACCATACCCAACATCGTACCCCACCACTATCATCATCACTCTTTCTCCCGCCAGGCAGGAGGCAACAATTCACCTCCTCGCGCCATGCAAAACCACCTACCTCCGCTCATGCTCCCCGGCGCGTCCCCACGCCTCTCAACCCTGGAACCCTTTACCACCACAACCAGCCCTTCTCCCTCCTTTCCATTTCCCCCTACCTCTACTACCTCCGACCCGCTGGTGGACATTGTCAGGTCCACACCAAATCAACACGCCCTCACCGAAGAACAAACCTTGAAGCTCTGGCATAAAATTCTAGTCAAGATCTACCCACAAAACGGAGAGTTCACTCACGACCTCCGCACCGCTGAGATCAATAGTGCACGTATTGTTTACTGCCTTGTCAAACAGAACACCTGGCCTAGTCCTGGGACCGAACCAGTTTCTTCTCCAATGGCTATTATCTTGTGCAAGGAGGCTGAGGAGTACCATCGCGAGGATACATGGGACCGGACTTCAAATCAATTGGGGCAGCTGAGCAAGTGCCCAGGACAGCCTTGGTGTGCTGTGGCGTATGGGCGCCGGTTGGTGTGCATGTATAGGTGTACCCAGAGGCTTGAGGGGTTTGAGATGTTTAGGATGGGTAGTTGGATGTTTGATGTGGGGGTTTGGAATGGGAGAGCTTCGTTGAAACAGCTTTTGGATAATGTTAGGTTCGGGAAGTGGAAGGCTATGAATAAAGGGAGGGGCCCGAACTTTCGTGGACTCTGATCAAAGCTTGGAAATTTTCTGTTGGTAAATTAAGGGGTGTTAGTGGTGCAGATGATAATATGGTCATTCATGCGAAGGAATTGTTATTTTATTTGTATGGGAGAAAAATGTATGCTTCTCCAATCCGATTGTTAATCAGTTTCTTCCTCTAAAAGAATTAGCCCTATATATAAACCACATTGTACTGAGTCAAAACCCCAGAGCCCAATCACCTCACCACTAGGAACATCGCCTTCACCCTCTAGCCAGCCACACGCATCGGAAAAAAGTTCGTACCGTCTCTTGGATAGGTCTATCACGTCGTGTGATTGGTATACCATCGAGGTACTTCTGAGTGCTCTGGTATTAAGCTGGCCGCTCTTTGAATTGTTAAATGAAAGCTTCACACATTTTACCAGTGTCAGTAATCAAACGCAGGCATGAGACCGATTCCGATTGTTGGACTCACCGAGATGTTAACCAGGCCTCCAGCACCATAGAAGAGCACAACGCGATCGATACGGTCATCTGATTCGACGTTCATACCAGATGATATGGTTGTATCACCCACAGAGCCTATGTCAATACAATATCCGGACTCATAAGTGAACCTCAAACCCCCGATGATATCCGAAGACTGGAAGTACAGGAAATAATCCACTGAAATGAGCCGACCAGCCCCATTGTTCAACTTCCATAGCGCTCTCCGCGGGGCCATCCAAGGGCGGACTTCCAGGGTTTTCATTGGGTCCCAAAGGGAGACACGATGCCTGGGTGATATGGGGCTCAGAATAACACGGGGAAAGTCCCAGCAGTCATTGAAGGCCCAGATAAACCGCGACTAACAAGATGTGTAAGAACGTAGTCTTTCATCGTGCGCCAGCAAGGAGGGCTTTACCATATACTCTACATCATTTCCCCGAAATACTAACTCCGTACGTTCATTGGGGGCTGGGAGCTTTCCCAGTGGATATGTCTGAGATTGCGTCCGAGTTGAGATTGCTATACGGATGACACGACCAAGGGGATATCTCTCAGCGAAGGATATCCTACCTTTGGAGAACCAGATGCGGATCTCGGTTATCACTTCATCTTCTTCGAGAGTAAATGAGTCGATCTCTGAAATCCATTGCCCTAAGATGCAAGGACTGTGCGAATCACTGTATTCTAGCCACAAGCCCGATATCTCACCTGTTCGTCGAGGACGCGAGTGGCACCCTTGTGAGATGCGTATACGCTTCACCCCTTCCAAAGACGCAGAAGTGTACGCGTGGCAGCCCTTCGATTTTTCACCTATCAATGAGGATCCCCGAAAATCGGCAAGGTCTGCGGAAGTTACACCTTTACGCGGTTTTCCTCGGTGCCCGCTATCGGGCGCTTCACTGGCATTTGTTTTTTCATATTGCAGACCGAATGTCTGAAAAGAGCCACTGACAGCCTTCGCGCGGTTAGCAATGAAGCTTCTAACTATCCGATGCGATCCGTAACGTACCTCTAGAACGGATGTAAAGCCTACAATAATATGTCCCAGTGGTGTCTCAAGAGTTTCTTGTATATACTGAATTGTATCCAGCGCCTCATCTGGAGAATAGAACATCGAGGAATCTGCCACATATGGCCCAGCAAAGTAATTAGCCATGAAAGTAATTTCGTTGCCAAAGCTTGTCAACATCTATCGAGTGAACGTCAGCTCTCAGCGTACTACTGCCAGTTACGGGTAATGCATTTGTCATACTTTGAGTGCGACAACGCCTTGTGAGGTCGAAGCTCGGTCAACTGTTACGCTTCGGATCCTCTCGCCGCTCGGCCCATCAATAAGAAAAGACACCTCCGTCATGCCCTGGCGACCGAAGTGCATTGGATCAAGTCGATCGTAGTAGAATGACAGGCCGACTATGGGAGATTGAGCTGTGAGCATGTGTGCCACAATCCTTGTTAAGTGTCCGAGCCTTTGCCCATAGGTTCCGCCGAAGTCAATGTTCAGAATTCGATTGAAGCTCTGGTATCCGGGAAATTGAGGTTGAGGCAAGAGAATCGAGGTGTCTCTCGGGCAGTATGGTGTCCATATTGGCTGAGGTCGCGCAGGTGGCGCGGCATCGGGTGATGCCTCGTCGTTAATGCCGAGTGCAACCAATTTAAAGGACTGTGTTGATATCAGATCATATCTTGACCGGTCAGGGCATTTGACGTACATCAAAGTGTGCAGAAATGGCCAGCTCATCGACGGGCCCATCTGCAATAAGCTCTCCGAATGCAATATCAGGTTCGTCGCAACCCGTTTCACCTACCCACTTTGTCTTATAGGTGGAATAGCCGCGTCTCACAATCAACCTAACACCCACAATCCCTCCAGCACTTATAGCCACACCGAAGCCGGCAATGGACTCACAAGGGTCAAGGTTGGCTAAGGGTCGCATATGGCAAGATGTATAACCCAGGCAACGGGTGGCTTTCTCTCCGATATCATTTGCTAGTGTAAAGCGGAAGCCTGAGATATAAGTTTGGGAATTAAAGGCTGTTATCAACGTCTCGATTGACCTAATTGACCCCTGCGTAATAGGAAGTAACAGCTTTGAGTTATATAGCTTTCTGCATCCAGACTCAAGCAGGCCGCGGTGGTTAGTTGTTTCTTGGGTAGTAATGAACCGAGTCGACTTTTGCCGAACAGTGGATCGATTATCCGGGGAGCTATCACAGGACTTCATAATGTGAGAGAAGGAAACTTCAGTGATAAGCTGCCCGATGAGATCGGCATTTAGTGACACGATCTTCCATATACGATGGCGGTTCTTTAGTCCATCAGAACACTGCGAATGTCCTACCGCCCTCTTTATTTTGAAGTAGATATCCCGCCAATTTAGGAATGAACCACTTTCGATCGGCAACGCATATCCCATCTCAAAGGATGGGCTGAAGCGGCTTTTCCAGAAATTCTGTGGGAGTGACTGGGGTTGAGTGACTGAAGAAATGGACCTGGATGCCAGTCTCAGATTATTCAAACCAGCAGAGCGCAAGTACGTTAGCACCATGTATATGACCTCTAATGGAAGATTGGAAAAGGCATCTCCTCCATAATGATGGTTGTCCTTGTCACGTTGACGCATGACACGCGGATACGGGTCGCAGTCGCTATCTAGGAAAGGAAAATCTTTCAGAGCAGCTTGACGCGAGGGATCTGCCAACAGATGAGTGTATCCCTTGTCAAGCATATTCCGCACTGGGTTACCGACTGGCTTCTGAGATTGAACCGCATCCCCAAAGTCGTGCCCCGGCCGAGGGAACGAGAACCTATCCCATACCGTACAGTAGAGCAGACCATGTAACGTGGTGCACGTCCGGAAAATATCAGATGTTGCCTCTGGCACCCTTTCTAACAGAATTTTCCAACAGATTGCGTGGAAAGGAAATGTCCAGTGTCCAGTACCTCTGTCAAAGAAGGGGACATGTGTTTGAAGCGATGCAGATGAGTGCGTGAATGATTCTTCAGCGCAGGGCGGCGCAACAATTTCATCCCCTGGACTGACGTAGCCTATACCACTAAGTGTGACCGGTGCCAAGCATCCCTTGCGCCGGACTAAATAACGGAAGCCACTAGTCAGTAGCAAAGACAAGGAAGCGAGGTGGGGTTTAGAGTCCACTAACCTAGGCGGAGAGTCTGGTACCATTCTAACACTGGATGTTGTGCGGTTTCTATTTCCTCTGGGGCGGTCGAGATAATAACACCACAGATGGTGCAAAAGTGAAGCATGTTGATTATACTGGTAGCTTATTGTTCCACGCGGCAGAAGTTCGGATAAATTGCTGCCTGAAACATTCGGTCGGAGGAGTCTGATATGACCCCGTTCGTCGATAAGCAAAGAAAATAGCAGATGTGACATAAGCGACCAGTCTTCAGTCGAATTGATCTGACCTTATCTACCTGGTAGCTGTGCAGGCGCCTAAAGAAAGAAGAGTGCGGAAGATGGTAATAGTCAGAGGGGAGGAAAGGGGATGCTTGGTAGCTGCACTATGTCATGTGACTGCGCCTTACGCGCCGTGACTTGGAATATGCATTGCATTTTTTCCTCTCCTGTCGGGATTCAAGATTGCTGGTAAAGAACCGGTTCTACAAGACGATACCGAGCCTGATTGGGTTGTGTTCCAAATCGTCATGACCAAACCCGCCCTGCGAACACCCCGCATATCCGGGGATCTCGCCGAGCGACAGATCTTCATTGTGGAATGTAAAAGACCCAGCAAAGATACGCCTGCCGAGTGGGAATCAGCGAAGGATCAATTACTCCACTACTGCGAAGGAAACGTTAATGGAACAACGCGGGTGTTCGGGGCCACGGCAATTGGAACAAAAGTCAAGTTTTGGAGATTCGACTACCCGAGACTTACCCCCTTGTCTGCTGGTGATGAAACATACGACCTCCTTGACCCTCGTGGAAGCAACCAAGCCGAGCAGTGCCTGAACTACATTCGGAACAACGGCTGGAACTGGGTACAGTCAGGCACTATGCTTCCCTGAATGAGCTTTCACCATCTTGCGATTTGGAACTCTTCCCGTATATTCTAATCTTGGTATAACCGTACCATGTCATGCGCTATCATTGGTTTACCGCTGCTTCGTGCTTTGCTATCTTTGCTGTTTTCGCTATTTTCGATATTTTGCTATTTCATTCTCGGGTACAAAGAGGAATGGTCAATGTTATTTTCGGCTTGATCTATAACCCTCATTGTTAGATATGTTTTCTGCTGTTTGGTTCACAAGCCATTGCTTTGTCCAGTTGTGTGTATGTCGCTATTACTATGCTGAATTTATGTACTACATCTGTTCGGATATAGAGTAATATTCATACACAGTCATATTAATCAAGTAGTTGTGCTTTTATCTCGCCTGTCTGTCAAGTAAAGCACAACACGTCTACATGGTCTATGTAAAGACTGCCTTACTCAGCCTTCAGAGATGCTCGATGACAAGTACATGGTGTGATATATCTTACGCTGACTTACAGTGTTCATTCAAGGGAGGCCTTGCCAAACTTGTTGCTATTCAGCCAGTCCATATCCCAGCAAGGCTGTTACGGAAGCCATTGTGAAGACAAAGCAACTATATATTAGCTGATTGAAACTGGCAAACCAGTATATTGGACACATACCTTCATAGTGCGTCGTGTGTATAATTTGACTATCAATCAGTCTTCAATTACCTGCTTCGAAAAATACCAGACTATTCCCCATTCAGCCCGATAAGATAACGTTATTATTAATAGAACCCACGATATCCATCATCCACCGGTCCATTTCAGCCCGGATACGAGATCCCCACAACACAACCCGTAAGCTTACCTCCTTCCTCTTTCCTCTGGGTTTATAAGCCCCATCATCCCCGATCCTTGCAATTCAAGATCTGTGTGCCTCACGACCTTATAAAACTAACCAACCATGTCCCTTCCCACGGTCCTCATCACCGGCTGCAGCGCAGGCGGTATCGGCTCCGCCCTAGCCGAGGCCTTCCACGAGCGGAACCACCACGTCATTGCGACTGCCCGTTTTGTGGATAAAATGTCCCATCTATCTAAATTTCCCAACATGACGCTTCTCAAATTAGATGTGACTTCTGCCGGTGATATTGCCGCCGCTGTGGAAGCTGTGAAATCCCTTACGGGCGGAAAGCTCGACTACCTGGTTAACAACTCTGGTCTCCCGCTTACGTTTCCGGCACTGGAGACGGATATCGAGAAAGCCAGAGAGGTCTTTGATGTCAACTTCTGGGGTGTTGTGAGAATGGTGAACGCATTCTCCGAGATGGTTATTGCAGCCAAGGGAGTTATTGCGAATCATTGCTCTATGGGTGGGGTCATGACGATTCCGTGGAATGGTCCGTGCTCGAATTTCGCTATGCGGTGAGCATGAGCTTTTCAGGATGACAATACTAATTAGAGGGACAGTATTTTACACATCCTCAAAAGCGGCATTGAAATCATATAGCGAGGGTCTACGCCATGAGCTCGCACCATTTGACGTCGAAGTCGTGACTATCATGACTGGTGTCGTGGGGTCGAATCTCTGGACTCGGGCACCGGAGTTGAATCTGGAGGGATCGAGGTATGCGCCTGCAACAAAGGAGATAATGGATATTGCGACGGGAGCGAATACAGGCGGCACTATGCCTTGCTCCGATTATGCCCGTCGGGTGGTTGATGATTTGGTGGGTGGGAAGACTGGGCTTATTTGGAGGGGGAAGATGGCCTCCATTGGGTGGTTTTTGACGTCGTTTATGCCGACGTGGGTTTTGGTATGTGTCTTCTCTGCTGCCAATGGGTGAGTGCTTGCTAAAATCGGTATAGGACATGATGACGAATCACATGAGCGGACTGGACAAGCTGGGTTGATGTGAGGAAGAGGTAGCAAAACTTATAAAGGCTACGGTGTTCTTGGTGTTGTAAGGGGGTTTTCTATTATTCTATCGGTGACTTGGAACCAAGACTTATTGCAGATGCATATTTACTGTATGATAAATCAACATGGGATATCAGAAATGGGCGTCACGTTTAGACATATCTCCTTTCAAGAAGAATTTATATCATTTCTATCAGTCTACTTCTAAGAACTTTGTCTTATCTCACAACCAAATCCGAATATGGATGTATCTACAGCCGAGAACTAAAATCTTCTCCACGACCCGACTGCTCCACCGCTGCGCGCCGAGCATCTTCGGCTTCGTAGGTTTCCCTCCACGCCTCCTCAACCTATGACTAAAGTCAGCATATTCAACCAGTATCTCCAATGGTAACATACATTATAGCGGTACAACCATCCATGATCATCATCCCACTTATTCGCAACAATGATCGATACCGCTTCATTGAAATCGTCCGTCTTTTTCACCGACACATCCGATTTCCCATAACCATCCAAGATGTCATACTACAAGATCGTGAGTAAATGTAGACTCATATACTTTCCTGGGGGTGCTTACCATGGCAGCATAATGTGGAGCTCGAACTCTGTCGAACAGTTCCAGTCCGTCTTGTATTGGCAGTCCGCGCTCATGGGCCCACTTCACGGCGCGCGTAAGTACATAGACGTCCTCAAGTGCGAAGCCGGCGCCGGCGCCTACACAAGTTAGTGAAGTTTCTCGCTATGTTGGAAGTTCACCTTTTACCGAAAGCACCGGAAAGAGCTGCGTATGGTTAGCATATGGGGGACTCATAGAATGATGAGAACGTACGATGCGATGCGTCCCCGACAAGCGCGATCGATCCATGAGAGACAACACTCGACAACCTTGGTCCAGAGAAAAGGGCAAATTTCTTGACAACCTTGATTTTCTCAAGTACGCTCTGGAGAGCAGGCGAGAAGTCCTACTCGATATGATCAGCAGTGAGTATACGGATTTGCATAAAAGGAATATACTTTGTATCTCCAGCTGAACTCCTCTACACTCGCATCCTGTCCCCAGCTCACAGGAGCAGTCTCGGCGGTCTGGGGAACTCGCGCGGCAATCTCATAAACATTATTATTCAAGTTGCAGGTGTACAGACGATCGGCTGGTCCATGCCAGAAGGTCACGGAGTCCGGTATCCCTGGTATGCTTAGGATGTCGCGGGCGTCTGCGAGTGCGCGATACGCCGTGGTTCCGATGTACTTAAGACGGTGTTCGGGGTGGGCGAATTGTCGGACAACCTAAAATGTGAGTTACTGGCCGATCGTAGGACAGGGCTTGGTCACTGACTGATCGGACACCGTCAGCTCCAACAAGAAGATCCACCTCGTCGGTGTGGCCGTCTTCAAAGCGTAGGAAGAATGCTTTTGACGGAAGCTGAGACACTTCTACCAGTCGACTTGAGAGTCGTAGCTTTGATTTGTCAACACTTTTCAGTAGAGCTTGTTGAAGTACGGATCGAAGCGTGCGAGCATGAAGATAGCGAGAAGGTGTGCCTGATACGGTCAGAAGCCAGGCAATTCAAGTTTTGGGTGTCCATACCTTCCTGTCCCTTTGACAACAATAGCTGCCCAGTCTTCCCGTTTCTACATGTCAATTGCTCAGTCATATCCTTTTATAAGAGGCAGAGTACCCACCGATGTTGAACTGCATGTCCATCTGCAGGACGAAACAAGTCTTTTGGATCGACATTGTCATACACCCCAAATATATCGAGCATGCGCCACGTATTCTGTTGAATGCTGATTCCTGCACCGACTTCCCGAAGCTCCCGGGCCTGCTCGTAAACACGTAATTCAACAAAGGGTAGTTTGGCAAATTCAATAGCCGCTCCAAGGCCTGCTGGACCGGCCCCAATTATAGCAACTCGCAGCTTAGCTGGAGATTCCGGGTCTAGAGTCATTTTGTGTGGCCGACTGCGAGAACTTTGGTACTCGGAACGAAATGCACGTCCGGGTCTTGTTCGACAATCTTACGGATAATGGCCGCATTTAAGTAGTCTGCCACCTTTATGCATTTGGCTAGGCTCGTGGCATTTGGAGACAATGATAGGTTCGATAAGGTGGCAGACAGGGAATTGTCATTATCAATCATAGTATGGAATTGCGTGATTGGCGTTGGTTGTGGCGTGGAGAGGCGGGGTTGTGGTCCGGATTTCAGGAACCGCGATGGACTGTTTTAATGATAATGTTAAGGTGTTGCAAGATAATTTGCGATAGTTATAAACACCGATTTCATGTACCAATTTAAACGATCTGACCGGAATTAGGGGAGACTGCGGGTATTGGCCTGGTGCGATCGCGATCACTCAGTCATGAGCAGATTATTCAATTGCTTCACCAAGACGGTCATTCTGATCCTGACATTGTGAAGACAGCGTCTACACGCATATATACCGCGAGTCACAAAACATTTCAACTTGAACGCTCTGACATTAGTAGCAGCATCATACCGTGACAAGACCATCAGTAGCCCATCGAGTTGGAATGAATCATCCAGTACACTCATAGGACACCCTGACAAATATAGTTTATCAGAGTAATGCCTATTTCAATATTTTGGGAAGATCAAAATAGTAGGAGAATGGGTCCAGCAAACCGAGGTTATTCAGACCGGATGTTGCCCTGGAATGTCACTTACCTATGCTGATTGGTCAACGGAGCATTCACTTGTGTTTTGGCGATCTTGGCTCCACCGAACCAGAAGATGCCCACAGCTAAAGTATGAACAATCGGCTGGAACTCTTCCTATTGAACAATCAATTCGTAAGATTTTACAGTCGCAGAAGACCCATGATGTGTACAGATACTCTTCCCTGGCACGCAGCCTATCCCGCACCTTGGAGCACGGCAATCGGTATCCGTCGCGAGGAGGTACTAGAATGGTTTCGCTCAGGTAGACAGCCCGGACGTGATTTTCTATTAGTAGACCTACGTCGGACGGATTTCGAGGTAAGTTAGTAGATCAGGATAAAAGGTGAATGTAATTGACATGCGTTTTCAGGGAGGTACCATCCGAGGATCCATCAACCTCCCAGCCCAGACTCTGTACCCTGCAATCCCAACACTCTATTCTCTTCTCAGCCAAAGCCAGGCTACGAAGGTTATCTGGTACTGTGGTATGTTACATAATATTGCTTCCTCTCATTGAAGAGCGATGGAGTGTGCTCACTAGACTCAGGCTCATCGAAGGGCCGTGGAATGCGAGCCGCGAGTTGGTTTGCCGACTACATTGAGCAGCAACAAGACACCCGGATGAGAAGTCTTGTGCTAGAAGGGGGTATTAAAGGATGGGTGGCAGCAGGGAAGGAATACACGGATTTCATGGATGAGTACGACGCATCTGCATGGACTGCTTGAATATACTACTTTGATTCGTTCTACCGGTCGAGGGCAGCAATGACAGTCAAGGGGCTGTTCTAGACAATCTATATCCAGTCAACTAACCAAGAGTCCCATTCATTATATACAAAAGAGGAGATGTTCGGTCATACTTTATACTTGTTTGGGGCGTTCTTTCATCTCCTTGATCCGCTTCTCTTTCCGCTCGCTGAACCGATCATTAAAAAGCTCCAGGTGGGGTCGCATGAGAATGGTATATTTCACAAACTCCTCCATACAATCAACCAGCCGGTCACGGTTACCACTAGGTAGAAGGGTCTGGTCTCCTGGTTGACCTTCACCCGGGAAATGCGTATATGCCTGGGAATTGTAAACATGCGCATCCACCTTCCGAGAATCCGCAGGGAATTGACAGCATTAAACCATTGCGACCCGCCACATACTTGCGCGATAGCAAGCGTTCGGCCCTGTGTGGGACGTACGCTGCCTGTGGTTAACGGGATCCAGTCGATCTGATTTTTGAATACGGCGGTCTTGGAAATTGTCAGTAATTGAAGTAGCGAGACGTCAGGGAAGGGATGCCAACCAGGTTGCCATGCTTTTCGGGCGATACCCAAACATGTCCGTCGCTCCATTTTCTGAGCTCTCGAAGTTCCTGCACCTCTGGTTGGTCGTGGTCAGTATCATTTTTGACTCGCAAACCGTCGGGATTGAACACGCGGACAACGCACCCTAGGCGGAACAGAATCCGTCCATCGAAGGGTTCTTCTTCTGTTTCGTTTGAAGACCTCCTCAAAGGTTCCAACTGCCTCCCGATTCCCACAGGTGGCACCAATTTGCGTCTTTTTAAGACCCAGGTACCGATGTACTGGAAACCATCCTGAGAAACGAGGTGTCGGAAGGCAAGTACAAGACACGACAGTATGTGCCGTAGCTTTGGAGCTGGTCATGAGTTGCAACACAAAGAACCTAAGTATGTTGGACCTTGATATGCGTCTTCGGTCACGGTATAGGAGCGCGCGCTTTCAATGGGAGGGCTGCAGAGTTGATAATCAGGTCCTGTTTGCTGTTCTTGCTGAAATAACGTGAAGACGGCGTGGACTAGCAGAATGGGACGGACTAGGTTGAAGGATGCCATTTGGGGTTCTGCTTCCTAAGCTGGAATACTATTCTCGGCACACGCGCATTTGGGAATACAAAATACGAGTCAACAATTGACCGCCATGTCCCCTCGTTTTGACCACATATATGTTTCACATCACATCGGAGAAACTGATGGGCTTTATAAGCCAAGACATAGTTGAAGCCTCCAGTATTGATCATGCAATGGAATGTCCTCATAGGAGTTAGACTTTGCGTCTACACGCAAATTCTTGTCCTTGATGTTAAAAGCCGGGACAAACTATATATATCTTTGGCTGTGATGCTGAGAAACGGCGTACCCTTTCCCGTCGAGGCACCTATTTCGATAATTTCTAGAGTAACGGTCTTTAGCTCAACGCATGAAATTTCATTGGCCCCAGAGTTTTGATAAACTAGACTAAATCATAAGTTGGTTCTTATACATTCTAGTGACACCGACTCTGCCAAAATATAGATACATCCATTCGCTCTCCCGACTCAGCTCATCTTCTGAGTAATCGAATCCGGAATTTCCCCGCGAATAATCTCAACAGGAATGTCGATATTGACCACCCTGTTCGGGCCCACGTACTCCGGGCGTGAAAACAGTTCAATCATCACGAAGTCACCATCCTCCACACCGTTGAACAGGTGATGAGCTCCTGATATAGGCAAGCGCCATCTCCACCAGATCTCATCCTCTGATACATCTGCATCACCTGGGATATTGAATGGCAGCTCGGCATCTTCCAGGCACTGGGCCCAGAGGGAGAGCTCTTCGTTGTAATGCAAAACGATAGTTGAGTCCTGTTCAGACTGTTCATCCATTACAGCAATCCAGTAGGATTGTAACATGCCTTCATTTCCGTGTTCCCTAAGCTCTGAGATTTTGTTTCGGGCCCAGAGGCGGAGCTCGGTGTCTGTCGCGTCTTTAAAGCCAGTGGAAAAGTCACTAATTGGAAGTTCGGTGCCATAACTCTCGAAGATCGCTTGTCCCGGTGTGCGGACAACGCAGAAGAAGTTGGGACAGTCTGGGCTATGGTACCGGGCGAATTGGTCCCTGAAGCTATTCAATATCATGATAAGGCACAATAAGCATTTTCATACTACCGCAAGAGATAAAATAGATAATCTTACACTGGCCGGTACATCTGCAATCTGCAGTGCAGAAGAGGAAGAATACGGACATTGCGTGATACGTTTGACGATGAAGAAACAATCTGCCTTGGGGATATGGAGTGAAGAGAGAATAGGAATACTGGTAAGGAAAAGAGGGACAGGTAGCGGACGCGCTGATGCCCGACAGGTGACAAAGAACAGTTTGTTGGTTAAGTGATGAGGATTACACGGGACAGGCCAGCGCCGCTCCGACATGTTTATGTCAATGCCATCCTCCTGTATAGGATTCCACAAGGACACCCCCTGTTGTAGCCTACCACGCTAGCCAATATCTGTATATATAGGAGTATGGGCCGCCCGCCATCCTGCAGTGTTGCCGAGACGCTTAGCACTTCAGCTGAGTCCCTACAGGATACACTAGGCTCGGGTTTAACATAGAGACGGATAGCTTGAGTCTCTGGAACCCTCGTGTTGGTATTACTGACCTCGACACCCCTTTGCTATCGTGCAATTCCGCTTGGTACCAGCCGGCCTATTTCGGTTCGCGTTCGTGACCTCCCGGACGTCAAAGGCTCACAGAAGTACATGTTGCCACTTGTTACTAGGGTCTATCATTTCCTTTGTGTCTCGATCAATACGAGACAGGCAGAGCGCCGGTAATTGAAGCCGTCCTGGATGACACTGTGGGCTTACCCGATCTCATGACGAGATTATCAGTACCTCGTAACTTGATATGAAACGGTCGATCGTAACTCAAATTTCCTGATGTACAAAAGAAGGATGCAAGAATGCCGACAAAGACAGACTCACAGTTTATGACTTGATTGTCCCAACTACTACGCTGATCAGTCTTTGAGCTCTCTCAGTTGTTCCTACAGCCTAACAACTAAAGCTGTACTCTAGATAAACTTATGTGAGGATTTGTACAGCACATACGACCATAGGGTGTGGAAAACAGGGCTTCCCGTCCGCTCAGCCGTACTTAAGCCACACGCCGGGAGGTTAGTAGTTGGGTGGGTGACCACCAGCGAATCCCTTCTGTTGTATGTTTTTGTCTTTATTTTTGGCGTTTACTCTATTAAATGCTTTGGAAACTATTCAGATCCCAAGAATTCCATCACTCGGGTTTCGTTCGGTCTGTGATGGATCCACGCAGCCAAGCAATTGGCTTTGGATTATACCCGTCGGATAGCATGACGGCCAGTGTTTGATACCGCCGAGCCGGGATATCAATCAACAACAGGCTGTGCCACAAGACCAGAACAATTACAGGAAACACTGTGGTGTATCCTCACAATTATTCTACTGTAGAGGAGTTGCCCGTATGTATGCAGCCCGGGGCTCCGTATTGCAACTGCATGCTTCACTAATTTAACCGGTTTATTTTTGACTATATCTTGAAATAGAACTACAAAAGCTCAACGAGCCTCAGGTGAGCATGAGTAGCTAATACTGAGTCATCGTAATCGGTTTACTGTAGGGATAAGTCATCATGCGACAGACATAAGGCATTGAAGCCAACATCGACTAAGTACACGAACAGGCTGAGTGTTGGCTGCGCATAGTGGGGGCAATACGATCAACCAGGAACGCAAAGATCGCCTATAGGGTCAAGTTTCAGAAGCCACATGGACAAACGGTCAAACCACCGTGCTCCACTGATCTTGACTCGTAGCTCAGATCCTGGCTGAAACAGACATCGTGATGCGCCACCATCCCATCATCTCATGTCTCAGATATGCTTACTATTTTATTACTACACCACCTTTGACACCAGATTATCCAACGACATGTCAAACGCCAAAGTAATCAATTGTCAGCAACCTGATACTGTACTTACCGGCCCCTTATAAGGAAGTCCCCTGGCCGATCCATATGCAGGGGCACTTTACTCCCACGTGGGAAATGCATGGCATTTGAAAAGGCCCAGTTCTGAAACTGAAAATCGCCAGTTCCAAAAACTTCTAGCACTCGTTACATTTCAAAGTCTTCTGCATCAGACAGAAAGAACACCATGTCTATTCAAAATATCCTACTTGCAGCCGCGGGCGGCGCAACACTCTTGGTACGAGCACAATTTCCCTCTTGGCGGAGTTTACCATCCTCTCTCAATGTCCATGACTAACGTCCCAGCAGGTCCTTGGAAGAATAATCTACCTCCTCTTCCTTCACCCTCTTGCAAAATTTCCTGGTCCAATTTGGGCTCGTCTTACAGATGGCTACGGCGCCTACCACTCCTGGCTAGGCGACGCCCACCTCGACATGTGGCGACTGCACGAGAAACACGGCGACTTCGTGCGCTACATGCCCAATTCGGTTTTCATCCGCAACGCAGATGCGCTCCACGCCATTTACTCGACCAAAGCGTATGCATCGGTAGTGAAGAGCCCTCACTACCAAGTTCTCCAAGCCGGCAGCGTGGGCAGCACATTCAGCCTTCGCGGCGGACATGATCACCTCCGGCGACGACGGATCGTCTCGACTGCGCTATCCGAGAAGGCCCAGCGCGGCATGGACCCGCGCATCGCAGTGCACGTACGCAAGTTCTGCGAGGCCGTGATCCCGGCGCGCTCTGGCGAGCTGGGCGAGCCGATGAACATGGCCGAGTGGTGCGGCTACCTCACCTTTGATCTGATGTCAGACCTGGTCTTCAGTGCAAGCTACAACCTGCTTGGTCGCGAAAAGTTCCGCTACATGCCTGAGGTCATTGACAAGTCGAATGTGCGCATGTCCGTGCTCGCGTATATGCCTATTATTGCAGCCTGGCGTGCCGTTGACGCCATCTTCTTCCGCGACGCCCTCATCGCCCGCAACCGCTTCCTCCGGTTCGTCGTGCGCGCTGTTCGCGAACGCGCGAATCGCGCCCTGGGCAAGTGGGCTCCAGACGCCTTGGACCCTTGCAAGCCCCGGGATGACATCTACAGCTCGCTGGCAAAGGCCCGGGACCCGGACACGGGTGAGGGATTCACAGCCTCGGAGATGGTCAGTGAAAGCACGACGCTAGTGGTTGCCGGGTCCGACACTACCTCGACGGCGATCGCGGCGACGTTGTTCTACCTGGCGGATAACCGCTATGCGTATGAGAAAGCTGCGAAGGAGGTGCGTGAGGTTTTCGCGGGCAAGACACTGGGTCCCGAAGAAGTGCTCTCGGGCCCGGAGCTCTCATCGTGTAGCTACCTGCGGGCCTGTATTGATGAAGCCCTGCGCATGAGTCCCCCTAATGGTGCGGCGCTGACGAGAGAAGTTCTGCCGGGTGGGTTGACTGTCGGCGACGTTTACATTCCCGGAGGTGTGACGGTCGCGGTGCCACTGTATGCCATTCATCACGATGAGCGGTACTATGTGGATCCCTTCATCTACCGACCGGAGCGGTGGCTCGAGGATGATGGAACTGGCAGCGTCAAGCGGGCGAGACTCGTCTTCAACCCCTTCTCGCTGGGTATGCGCGGCTGTCTCGGTCGCAGCTTGGCCTATCACGAGCTTATGACCACGGTGGCCACTGTGTTGTACCTTGGGGATTTCAAATTCGCTGAAGGACCCATGAGCAAGGTCGGTCGTGGAGTACCTGGGGCGGAGCACGGCCGACACCGTGAGAACGAGTACCAGTTGCACGAACACATCACCGGTCAGAAGCACGGGCCGTGGCTGAGGTTTTCCAGGCGCGAGATTTCTGCTTAATCATTTTCCCTTTCATTCATCTTCCTGTCTTGTTCTTCTTGTTGCATATTACGGTTGGGAATAGGGTTTGTAAATCTAGTGCAAAGAGAGGCAAGTGGTTTTGGCTTGGCCCAAGCCGCAAGGAGTGGTTTTTGTGCGTTTGGAGATTCGCGGAGTTCTTTGATATATCCTTCATTTTGGCTTTCTATACCTTCATTATATACTATCCCTTGAATAGAT